AAACTAATTTCTCTACCAACCTTGACTTCCTGTCCCTGGAATCCTTCACATTATCCTTGTCCCTTGACTTGCTTTTTTCTTTTGAACCATCCCTCTCTTTGGATCTCTCCTTTTCTCGAGACCTTTCCTTAGAGCTACGTTCCTTGGAGCCCTTGGAGCTGTCTTTGGACTTGGCTTTTGGGGACCGGTCTTTTGAGCGGGAGCGATTTTTATGGTCTTTTTCCTTGGATGCAGATCTTGAACGGCTCCTCTTTTCATTAGACTTACTGCGTGACCTTAAAAAAAAAATTAAGCAGTAATACAGAAAAACCATAAATCATACGACAGCAACTTTTAAGGTATCAATTTGAAAAAAAAATTTGTTTAATTTTACCTTGACCTGCTCCTTCTTCTGTCACGGGATCTGCTCCTCCTAGACCTATCTCTAGAACGAGACCTTGATCTTGATCTAGAAAAATAAAACAAAAACAAAAAGAGTTAATCCCTTGCAACATAGCACCTCCAACTTCATATCTACTTTCTTCTTGTTGTAAGACACAGCAATGCAATTCCATGCTTGAAATTGCCTTGCCTCTCACAAAAAATGTAATGGAGGCTCTGACAAGGGAGATGTGTTCAATGGAAAAGAGTCGACTAAATTTTGGTGCAACCTCAACACCTTTCTACTTTAAAATGTCATCATCAACACATCTCACTTGCATGTTCCTCTACTAATGGTGCTCATATGTTCCTGGGGCTATTGTGCAGTTTTTACCTTTCATTGAGAAGGGTAACTAAGCATCAGGTCATCCTAAAAGAAATCAACACTGGGTTAGTTTGGAGATTGAAAAAAAAAAAAGACTTCATGGCTTCATTTTAAACAACATTAGACCAACTGATTTTTGAATTTAATGACTACAGCAATACACCATGCATTTTAGTCAGATCTGTTTTTGATCAAAGTCAAACAAGTGTTAGCTGAAAGCTACTTGTTAAAAGAAAGAACAACATCTATGTGATAGTTTTTCTTAAATCTTTTGGTAAAAGACTTTGAAAAATCTGACTATAATCCATGTCTGTTGCAAGCTACCACACAATATCCAATTAAAGTTATGTGGAACATAAAATACCAATTACCTACTCCCTCTCTTATGCCCCTGATTCTACATTGCTGCAGAGTAAGACCTCACATTAAGTAGATGGAGAAGTAGTAGTAGCAGTGTGCAAGAGAAGCAGCTTGCAGCAGATTTGCTCGGTACATTGACAAGTTGACAACCTGCAATTTTCAACTTTGTGGGCTGGGCACGCTGGCTTGGTATTTAAGCCAATCTGGGATTGGTTCTAATTGAAGCCTGTGAGTGACTGAGGTTTGCAGTAGGAGCTAGGATGGATGTTGCCGCAGAGGGGTCGGGGGCCTATGACTGAGTAGTACACGAATGAAGTAGTAGTAGTAGTGCCCGCTGATCGCAATTGGTGATTCACAATGCGTCACCCAACATGTAGTTCCCTTAACCGAGTAGACCCCGCCAACACTCAAAGTGTGGCTTAGGCTGATGGAGGCAGTAGTAGCTATGATTAAGTAGCTCAAATGCATCGCTCCCTGAACAAATGACAGGTTATACAATCTATTAATAATACAAACAGAGACAATTATGGTAAATTTCTTTCAAAAAGTTTTCAGTAAACAACGTATTCAAAAAGTTTTTAGTAAACATTGTATTCAAAAAGATTTCATGTAGTATTTGGAATTTTTGTCCTTCTTTCTAACTTTTTTAATCTTGGCTACTTAGTAATAAAAGTTACTCAAAATCACTGGTGAAATAAAACTGAAAATATCTGGAATAGAAATAGCTATAAATTTAATAGCTAAATAATGTCCTACAAATAACCAAAACAGTATACTATTGGACATGACCAGACCTTCCTTGATGGAATAATAGATAGTGCTTAACTTTGTTAGTCAGCTAAAGAAAGAATACTTTTAAATTTACTCTGTCTTACATAATCAATTTTACCAAAAATAGAGAACACGAGATGGGATAATTTGCTTTTGGCACAATATCTTTGCTTGCTTTAATTCTAGAAAATCAAAATGTAGTCACAATTATCTGGAATATTCTAAAAGGTATTCTAGATATATAAACACTACTTGAGAAGTACCCAAGGTTTGAAAGCTATTAACAGTATTTTTCAATACTGTACAAAGCTAGACTAAATAAATGAATACAATGTTGTTACCATTTTCTCAAAAATGATGTTGTTCATCACTGTCAATTTGGCATGCAAACTGTATTGTCTCAGCAAGTGGTTATTGACAATGAATTCATTGAAACTGATAATTTGCTGTTGACCATAATCCCTTGGAACATAAAATCAATAAGACCAGCAAGTCTCCTCTTTATATCACCCATAGAAATGTGCAGATATTAACCTAATGACTGACAGGCTAAAATTACTATCAACTAGTGTAACACTTGTCTGGAATCGACACTGTGGTAGATTTAACTGCAAGCAATTGTAGCACAACATAATCAATAAGTCTGCTCTCTCTCAAATGATTTTCTTGCCTTATATTTCAATAAGTGTAAAAAGGCTACATGGGGGCTATGTTTACAATGATTTTACCTTTAAATGTAACAGTTATCCTTAATGTAACAGTAAACTTACATCCCCACTGTATTATTAATTCATACCCTGACCATTAGTAACCTATCAAATAACCTATTAAAAACAGCTGCATATTGGTTACTATATAAACACAGCCACCTGCAGACCACCATAATATATCATTCAGTGTCAAGATGTACAGGGCTGCTGTGTGCAAATGAAATTTTGTTGCTCATTGCATACTACTAGATAATATAGTGAAATGACCCTTTGTTCTGTTAAATACTGTACTAGCCATGTAACATTCTTTTCAAGTTCAGAAGATAAAACCACAAACTACATTCATAAATAAAAAAATATTAACAACACCATGAATAAGTTATACAATATTATAGATTTATAGTATGTATGTTATACAACATTTTAATACAGTAGCTATTACAGATCATATGCTTCAAATAAAAAATTCTTTAAATTTCTATTACAAATTCACTTTAGTTTTCTGAGCAAATTCCCCTTAACATTATTTTTTATACCGCCCAGCAGTCTCTTACTGAACCTACTTTATCTCAATGCTTACCTACTACTGCTGGCTCTTCTCCTGTCAAATTTACATTCACGTGCAAAATGACCAGGTTCTCCACATGCATAACATCTGGAGTTCCCAGAGCTGCCACGTCCTGGTGGAGGGGGGCCTCTGCGACCACGTCGAGATGCTGTACGTGCATGTTCTACACGTACACGTCTTCCACAGACAGTACTGAAAAGATAAAGCTCACACTCTAATGGTTCATTATAGAATTTACATAATCATAAGACTCATTATGAGTGATTTTATATATGAAATTTGGCCTTTATTTTTTACCTGCGTGGATAAATAAAAAGCCACGGTGAGTCCAGTACTTATTTATGAGTCTTACCGTCCATCTAACTCTTTCACTGCTCTTTCAGCATCTTCAGGGTATTTGTAGACCATGAAAGCAAAGCCAGGAGGATTTCTGTAACACAGAGGGTCATTATACAGTATATTTCTTACATATGACATCTTTTAACCTAAACAAAATAAGCCATTGAATAAAAAGGGTAAATATGTTTGGTTCAGTATTTAGAATAAATGATTGAGGTGCACATGACATTAAGGACAGATAATGGAAGTCAAGTGGCTTCAAAAATATTGTAAAGAAAAATTTTCAATACAAAATGTTTGTATAAATTGCATACTGATGTTACTATATGGTCCATTTGCTTTTGTCTTCTTTATAAAAATTAATTGTTCGAAAACTTTTTTTTTCATAGTATTGTGGTCTAGAGTGACCAACTGTCTATTTAATGTTTTAAACGGACCTAGTTAACAAACATGCCTTGTCTAGATGGTTTCTCAAACATCAAAGTCGACCAGAAAATGAATTCTTGAGGACCCAAATATACATAACCAAAACTTAATGAAGTATAAAATGCCCTAAAATACTTTTTTTTTATTCTCCCACCCACCAAATACGACTCAGAAGACTACTCCCCCCCCCCCCCCCCCACTTTACACAGAATGGAACACAAAGCAAATGTATAACATTAAATTGATAAATATATAAATATATAAACTGGTTATGAAATAAATGGTTTTAATATTTAAAAATGTAAAGAACAGCAGGAGCTGTGGTTTGGTGAGAGGATGTTCTGTATGAACTGAACAATATTCTTTTAGGTTCAAGATCGATGCCGCCAAGGTCAGTTTTAGCTTCATCATGGTAAGACGCCGGTCGATGGAGTTTTTATTATGCAATTAACAGTTCATAATCAAGTCTTACCGTGCAACCCAAACATCTAAAAGTGGTCCATAGTATTCAAAGTCTTTTTCTAGCTCATACTTTCCTACCCTGCTGCCCAGATCACCTACAAATATCCTGTAGCCGCCGTATGTTCTATCGTATAAAGCCATTGCATTTGCAAGCAAATGGCTACCTCAAGTTAACGCGAGATGTGTACAGCTGGTGCGAGATTTCCTGGTTGAGATCGAAGTGGTGCTTTTTATCAGTCTGCGCTTATTATTACTTCAGATGTGCTTGGTCAGAGCGCTTTCCTTATGTCACTCAATAAAAAAAAGAGCATGGAAATACTTTTCAAATTATTATCATTAGTTTTAAGTCTTTGCACCTCCTAAATAGCCCCACAGGAATTATTGACCTAGTTTTAAAGACCTTTCTCATGTCATGACCTATCTTCAGACAGAGAGAACATGGCAAGTTACAGATGGGTTTTCCGGACATTTCTTCTTTCGTTTCTGGTCATTCTGTTGGTAATCATCGTTGTGGGATTTCAGGTAAATGATTCTTGCACGTGTGTAGATTTAAGTACTTTACAGCCATTTGTTTGATATTTTATTGGTTATAACATAGTAGAAATTTTCAGTAAAATTAGTGACTGTCGGGTTGATGGTCGGTAGAAGCACGTTACACGTACAGGTTAAAACTGAATCCAAATTGGTGTGTCGCTGGGCCTGCACTTAAGTAAAACGTGACGGGTGGGGAAGTGGAATAAGAAATCTAGTCTATCACTAAACAAATTTAGTAGTGCCTCCCTGAACGAGTTGACAGAGACCGACTGCCCCAATACTTAATTTTTGGGATAAATGAGTAAAAAAAAAAAAAAAAAAAAAAAAAAAAAAAAAAAAAAAGCTACATCGTACTGCTATCGTATAGCTACATCCGAACGGTTCTGATTTATAGCGTGCATAATTTTCAAACAGGTTTTCGAAAATTTTATTGGCTTTTTCTGACAAATCTCAGTACTAGTAGATATGATTCAAACAAAATACTGGGGTACAATTTACATGATGTTCGTTGGCAAAATAGTCAAAATAGGTGCATCTCAGATATGTATTCTACTGATAACTGCCAAGTAAAATGAAAATAAGTTCAAAATCTTTTCTTAAAGAATACCAAAATAAGCCCTTGAAGTCCAAAACACAATTTGAAAGAAAGGATGAGATATAATTTTGATGACATTTTTTTCTGTGTGAAACTGGCTATTATACACTTGCTTATTTGGCATGCATAACATGAAAAGAATTTTCATGCTGCCACCTAGTTTTTTACTTCTCCATTATTTTTAGATTCATTTATATTTATTGAAATATATTTTGAAAACTTTGCTGCACAAAATCAAAATTTGTTGCATTTCATGATTAAAATCGTATTTGCTGCTTTTCATTCTTGTTAGTTATAATGCATCTTTTGTCTTGATACATACATGTAGTCATGGTGAGACAGTGCTGACAGTAAACCTTTAGCCATTTTGTGAAAGATGCAAGTTTGTTGGTTGCTCGGCGAGTGCTCTATGCACCTTATGGATGATTTGTTAAGGAAAGTCATATTGTAATGTTATGATAATGATATTTTTCCTTTGGATTATTTCAGATGTTTAAATCTGCAGAAGACGATTTGTATTCAGACATGTATGATAGAGCTTTACAAGGTATGGTGATATACAACAGAAATTAGTAACATAAAAGGAATCTACCTGCATGGATGATAAGTTTCAAAGGCTGGTGTAATTTTTTATCTACTTGTTGAAGTAATAAAAAGAGTCATTTTTGGCTCTGATATTGTGTTTGCGATAATTTACCATTTTTTTCTGTTTCAGATGATGAAATGCAGCAGGTAGTATTAAAATCTGATAAAAATGGGGATCCCCATGTGAAACCTGTCTTTCAAGACAATATTAATGTTCCTGTGTTAGTGTGGTGGACACCTTTCACTGGGGAGAAAGGAAGGGTAAAGTCATGTGGGGATGTCAAGTGTTTCTTTACGGTGAACAGAACATACAAAGATCACCCAAGAGCAAAAGTAAGTATTTGTTTGTTGCATTTAGATTACGGATTGATTAATTAATTTTTATTCATTTTTTCTATGTTAGCTGGCCAATATATATTATATTTTTTTTGACACATTTTCTTTTTTCATTTAAGATTTTTGACTATTTGTTCATTCGTGGAAATGTAGTTGGAATTTTCAAAGATCAATGTTTTATTATATATAGTTAATTTGATCTCATACATTTCAAAGACAATTTAATAACTCAATTCTGTAGACTCCCCCCCCCCCAAAAAAAAAAATAAATAAATAAAATAAATAAATAAAAGTAGTCGCTGATAGAAAGAAAGCAAATTTTCATTGGTTTACACTGCACTTTCAAAGATATCCTATCTTCGCAACAAAAGCTATTTTTCCTCTGGGAGCAATTTTCTCCTACTCATTGATCATTGCCCGCCCCATCCCTACCCCCTCCCCTCCATGTTGTTGAGGCTGGAATTGGGAAAGTTTTGTGGCTTTGCAGGATATATATCATTATATGTAGACATGAAAAATATGATTATAGGCCATCTTCAAACCCATATAGTATGCCTTTGATAGATTGATATGTATTATAAAATATTTTATTTTTTAGGTTTTCATGTTCTATGGCACAGATATATCACCTCCAGATCTTCCCATACCTAGACAACCACACCATGAGTGGGCATTGCTACATGAGGAATCTCCCAAAAATGAATATCTTTTCTCACATGCTGACATTATGACCCTGTTTAACCATACATGCACATTTAAAAGAGAGTCTGACTATCCTACCACTACTTTGTATCTAAAAGGAATTGAAGAGTTAGAGTCCACTGAATATTTAGTCCCCATAAAGGAGAAAAACAATCTCCTTAGTCAACAGGCACCTGTGGCTTTTGTACATAGTGACTGTGGCACTCCGTCAGATAGAGAGAAATTCACAGAAAGACTTATGAAGTTTATTCCCGTGGATTCCATGGGCAAGTGCTTGCACAACAAAGATTTACCAAAAGAGTAAGTTTTTTTTTCTGCAAATCTTTTTTGTTGAAAGAATGTTTAATCTGACATCTTTGTCACAAATATACAAAGTATACTTGTTTATTCATTCTATTACAGATGACAATAATATGAATTGATCTTATCAAATGTGGTTGGATTCTGCATAAGGATGGAAGTACTGCTATCTCAAGCATACCATAATGGCATGAAATATTTATATTATTCCCATGTATATCGGCTTCTTTGGTAATAATAACAACTATATCCTAAATGATTTCAGAATTGCATGCATTCTTTCTTAATCATGCAAAAAAGTCTATCCATTCAGTGAAATTGGGTTCACTTGGTGATATTGAAAGGGGTAATGTAGATGTGTCATGCAAGGACCTCATCACTTGAAATAATTGCCTTCCCTTCTTATCACGAAGATTTGGATTGTGATAAGGTGTGAAAATTGAATGAATAAAGTATGTGTTGTGTAGAAATGTTTGTTAGAGCTTCATATTTGAAATATTTTATAGCTTTTTATATGTTGATTAAATCTAGAATATTTTGTCTTTATTTCAACAAGTGATGCCAGCAGTACTGTATTTTTGGTCAATTGTTACATTTGTACTTGGGGGTTTTTAAGAATTTTAACCCCAAACGCTAATTGTTGTGTCTTGTTTTAGACTTTCAGATCCATTGAAAGGAATGTCTCATAAAGACTTCTACAAGATAATGGCTGGTTACAAATTTACTATGGCATTTGAAAATGGAGTATGTGATGATTATGTCACTGAAAAATTTTGGAGACCATTGCAACTAGGATCTGTACCCATTGTGTTTGGGTCACCAAAAATTAAGGTAGATTATGTGATGATAAGTGTTGCATTGCTTAGTGCAGAAGTAAAAAGACATTTTTGCAGTATATCTTTTCTTGTATCTTAATTCTTAGACACCTGATATCCATATTTTATAACTGATAATTATACTCTGCAGATTGACGCTGGTAAATGTTTGAAGCTTGTAAAGGGAAAATGCTTTATGATGCTTATTAAAATGGAAATTTGAAACTTTGATACCCCCCCCAAAAAAAATAGATGATGTCACTATCATTTGCATGCATGTGATTTTTTGATTTTTCAGAAAGTAATTTTTATAAACATTTTCTTTCATCATTATAAATCAAAAACCCATCTGCAATGGAGAAAACTTTTGAACTTTAAGTGTCCAGAGATTGAACGTTGATATCTATATTTCAAACCTTTGATGTCTTTACTTTAAAGCTTTGAATGATATTTTTGTTGACAATCACAGGTATAATTTTTTCAGGTGTAACCAACAAGTGTATTTTTCATGAACAGTTTTCCATTACTGAACATTTATACTTGTGATTTTATAAATGTAGTGAAGGTATATTATATTTCCAGGACTTGATGCCATCAAACCATTCAATTATCGATATCAGGAACTACAAAACCATCAAAGAACTTGCAGATCACTTGAATTTTCTCAACAATAATGATGATGAGTACCAAAAGTATTTACAATTTAAAAAACCAGGTGGGGTTACAAATACCTATTTGAAGGAAATAATGGAAAGGAGAGAATGGGGCATTGATAATGACTGGCAAAGAGGTAATTTTATAGATGGTTTTGAATGTCATGTGTGCAGACGTCTCCATGAAAATGAGCAATTAATAAGGGATGGTAAGAAGCCCCGAACTCACATAGCCACTGTAGATCATTATGGTTGCCCTAAACCAAAGCGTTTCAAAGCTGATGGAAGCACAGAAAGAGTTGAGGATGATTGGTGGGCACAGGAGTGGATCTCAACCAAATATCAGGCTAAAGCAATCAGATATTATATTGACAGAGGACTAAATTTCACTCAGGATGAATTCTTAAAAATGGCTGCTGATTTAAGTGACTTAGAACATAGATGAGACAGTTTGAAGGAAAGTATTACAATTGTAATATAAACATGTTTAAAAGTTCTCTTGACAGCTTGGCCTTACAACTTTTATTCAGTTGGTATTTGATTGAAGAGTTCCAAGTGTTCAGTTCATTTTTTCATGTGTTTAGGATCTCAGAACTTCTTGTGAACATTCTACAAGGAAAAAATAATTTAAAATGCGATCTACACTTGTTTTCTAGTCACATTTATATTAGTGGTAACAAAGGTTACCACGTTAAGTTAAATTAATTTTTAAAGTCAAAAATTCTCTTACCAAAACAGAATTCTATTGCCTAATACTTTATCTGGTTATTTCTATAGGGTGTGTCAAGGTCAAACCAATTCTGAAACATAAAAATTGATGCTTTTAATTGTAGTAATTAAGCAGTTGCCAGCCCACCTCCACACTATTTATTGAGGAAGAGCCACTGATTATTGGAGAGTGAATTCTTGCTGACCTGCTTCTGCTTCTGCATTTAGTGTCAATCAAAATGTTACATAGTTGGTTTAACCTTGTGCATTAACTGCTAGGGACAGATATGCTTCCAAAGGTGGTCCCAGAAGTCCATTTTCTCTTTTCTGACATGGAATAGTGTATCCATAGTCTGCCCCATACACCTTTAAAGCCCACATAACTGTTTTCTGTACATAAAATAGTATTGAAAGGAGGGTGAGGCAAACTGTTAGATATCCTGGGACCACAAAGTTGTTTTAAACATACATAAACTATCTGAATTATATTCAACTGTAGTTGGACAAAAAAGTTTAACTTACAGTTACATTGGAAACAAAACTGTGGCAGATCATTCACATATAAATATATAATTTCAAAGTTGTTATGCCTTACATTTGTTGAATATAGAATTAAGTTCCATGACCAACCACTGTGTAATTAGTTCATTTGTTTAAAATTATTACTCAAAGATACAAAATTATAAGACATTCACATATTTCATACATGACATTTCATGTGTTTAAGTGATTATTTACAGACTCCAGATATAAATAATATACATCAATACAAATGGTAACAATCTTACAGATTTAACCAAAGATAAATCTATCATTATGGCATGTTTTTTAGAGAGTTCCTCATCAAGGTAGTTCACTTGCAGAGATCAACTGAAGTATGTGCTTTAAGTGATGTTTAATTTGACGGCATTTCCATCAATAGCTGCACATACAATGGATGGCTCCAAAGGGTGCATGCAAAAAAAAGCCAACGAAGTATCTGAAACCAATCATACTTCATACATTACATAATATTTTACTTCTTAATGACATTAAAAAAGAAGGCACAATGATGCATTTCTCTATTAGAAACTTATTATTCTTGCAGTGATGTGGTGATGACTAGATCTTTAAATTTTCAATGGACAAAAATTATCAAACTGTCAGAAATTACTGCAAATCATATTTATATTCTTCTTTACATTCCTGATGTATTCCATCATTACTTTATTTTTATATTAGGCACAGATTCATATATGTTAGAAGTAAAACCGTGTATACAGAAGTGGTTGACATTTTCATGATATAATACGGGTACTTTACATATTAAGCAGACCAAGTTCATTCACTGTGTTTTTTAAAGCCTTTTATCATAAACTTCATCCATCATTAGCTAAAATAAACTGTCATTTAGCTACTGATCAGTGAAAACTATGATATATTAGGGTTTAATTTTCTGTTTTTGAATTTAAATTAGATTTTTAGTCAATTTTTTTTTAAACTTGCCTGATACAAAATGGCATTACATTCTAGTCATATTCCCACTATGGTGTAAGTTGTTACAATTCTCAGAATTTGAGATCTGAACTTATACCAGCATTTTATTACACATATAGCAGCAATTTTCTCTTTATCAGAAATGTATTCGTAAATCCAAAGTTCCTCTCTTGAGGAAATTGATGTTGTTTTGTGCTTTATATTCAGGTGCTATGCAATTTTTAAAAAATCTATTTTCATTATTGATAGATGTATTACAATAAAGTTTCATAAATGTTATTAAAATTTGTTCATTTTTCATTACTCAAGTTGTTTAAAACTGAAAAATACTTGGGAAAAATTTATGTGGTTGTATCCAGATGGTATAATATCGCCTGCATTCCAAATGATCTACACAAAACTAAATATCACATTTATACTAAGTAAATAATATATGATTACATCGGATGCAAAAAGTGATACAGAAATAAAGGATTGCACGTACAGCAACTGATGATGAAGAAAAATGTGGAATTAGAAATTTGGTCATATAAAATATACATTCCTGCAGAAGAATAATGGTCTTGTTCAGCCACGATTATCCATTAAAGCAAAGTGCAAAACTTTGACTTTTTAGATTCCTTGTCCTTTTCTTTTATCAAAAGGCCACTGAAATTTGTTATGGAAGTCTCACTTGCTTGGGTACGGTTTGGCATTTTTCTTGTTTTTTGATCCTGAAGACCAGCTGGCACTGGAGCTCGAATGGGAGACATCTAAAATGCGTAAAAATCTGAACTGAAGTTGCAAGCTCTCTGCTGATATTATAAACAACTAAGCTGTTGTGATTTTCCAAATAATATAAAATATGATTTTACGCTCAAATCTGTTCTCATTTGTTCAACCTTTAAATAACATTAGAGCATTACTAATATTACCCTCTTACCCTTATTATTTCTGGCAGGGTAGATAGTGACACCCTTTTAATAGTGTTTTTTCTTCTTTCAGTGGGATAAATATGGGTCAGTCTGCCCCGTGTTGGGGGTAATGGTTTGGGGTGGATTGGTAAAATACTATTGGCTGAAAAAAAAAAAATTAATCAAAAATGATACTAAAAAAAAATACATTTCTTTTATTGTCATCTATGTAGTATTATGTATGAGATTGCAAAATATTGTGTTGTTACACTAGAAATGGTTGCCAAAGAATACCGATTACTGATATCAGATATCTACAAAGTCAGGGATACTCTAAGATATTTATTTTGGAATTTCTAAATGAAGAGTTCAATTTTGAAATGTTATTAAATTATAACCTCAATCAAAATGCAGTTAAGATTTTGAGTGGAAGCCTATGTTAGTGTCCACAGGCCACTTGATTGTGGCTCGACAGGCTCCCAAAAAGCCATAAAGCAACCAACTCCCTGCATCTTTTGCATAAGAAGAGGGGTAGGTTTTACCATGCTTTGACAGCCTTTTAGTGAGTGCACTCTCTAGCTTAGATAAATACATAAGTAGGTATCAATGGTGGGAAGGGTGGGGGACNCCGATTACTGATATCAGATATCTACAAAGTCAGGGATACTCTAAGATATTTATTTTGGAATTTCTAAATGAAGAGTTCAATTTTGAAATGTTATTAAATTATAACCTCAATCAAAATGCAGTTAAGATTTTGAGTGGAAGCCTATGTTAGTGTCCACAGGCCACTTGATTGTGGCTCGACAGGCTCCCAAAAAGCCATAAAGCAACCAACTCCCTGCATCTTTTGCATAAGAAGAGGGGTAGGTTTTACCATGCTTTGACAGCCTTTTAGTGAGTGCACTCTCTAGCTTAGATAAATACATAAATAGGTATCAATGGTGGGGAGGGTGGGGGAAGAAAATTCTTGGAATGGTGGTTTCTAAGGTTAAAACTGAAATACAGGTGTCCACCCAAGTGCTTAATTAGCTTTGTAAAGCAGAGCATTAGGATGAGGTTATATTGTTGCAGCACATCAAATTTATAAGGTTCTATCAAAATCCCTTTAAAATTATTGTAGCTACAACAAGGATTTGTTTGCAATGTATTAACTTAAAATTCATTTCTGATGTTATTTGAATTCAAGTTTTCACCACATCCAATCCAACATGTTATGAGACAGATCAGGTCAAGTAGGCATTTTTCTACAAATACAACATGTAGAAGTAAAAAAATACTAAAATGTGGAGTACGGTTGCAAAGTTGGAAAAATGTATTTATTTAATGACAATAAATGTATATACCAGTATTTCTAATAGTTGAGTTCATATCTATAAGGAAGAACAAAAAAAAAAAAAAAAGTCATTTAACAAATGTGTTGGACATATATATTGATGTGGACAGCACCTGGTAATTAAAATATACACACACTTTCAATACATCAAAATTACTCACCCATGTGAAGGCTTATTTGACTCTGACATTTGACATCACTAACTGGGCTGTTATGAAGACACAAGACTGGCAAAAATCTTTCGTTATCCAGGCGAATAATGATGCGCCTGGCAACACTATTTATCATTAAGTCCACCACAAGGTGATGCATGTCGAACAAAGTGATTAAGCAGCCATGGATGATGCTCCATAAACGTAATGTGCAGTCAAGCGAACCTTGATAGTAAAAAAAAAAAAAAAGCTATATAATACTTTGAAAAATACACAGGTAATCAAATATATTTTAAAATAGACAAGTGCTTGAAACACTTTCATTTGAGTATAATATTGGTATACATAATGAAAAAAATCTGTAAGACTATCCTACAAAATAACTTTCAAAAGAATAAAACTGAAGAATATTAAAAGGTCAACAGATCTACCTGACAAAGCTGATCCTCCATCTTCAGTCACCTTGACTGCTGTCACTGCCTGAGTATGGCCCTCCAGTTTGTACTCCACCTCTCCAGTTGGCATACCCCACACCAAGACACTCCTATCCTCAGACCCTGACACTATGTGAATACTGCCAGTTGTCATGGCCACACACAACACAGCACTTGTATGCTCCACAAGGACCTGTACATAAATACACGTCCCAGTCCAATCACTCATACAATGAAATGGCATAAGATGTGACAGTTTACTTATCTTTAAAAATACACCATAAATGCTGATAATAATCTCTACTTTTGCAAAATTACTATCTGTTTTCCATAAAACCAACTCTAAAACATTTTTTCTCCTTCCCCCCTCCCAAGTTCCTGTGTAACTTACTTTAAGTGACTTCTTTACAAGATATGATAATGACTTGATCTTTTAAATGGGGAAAATTGTCAATACAGGTATTTCAGACACATGATTTTGTAATCTCTCTCTCTCTATTGCATTTGTGGTGCTTTTACTGTTTAGAATAGAACTTTTCAGTTTTGTAGTTACCACTCTAAGAATGCTCTAATTTTACCAATCCATGACTTGGAAAAATAAATTATCTGTAAAATTCACAATTCCCCCACTTAAAATATTGAGACATTACAGTGCTACCCATCTCATGTAAATTTCAGATACCCAAATAATCTTAGGCTGAGGGGTCTGCATGGTTATTTTATGGGCATTGCTAGCTCTCAAGGAAAATTGCAAGTACAGCACCTGTGTTCTGCACTTGGCCTTGGGAATGGTACAATGATCTTTTTTTACTTCAATTTACATTAAAAGATTTTTCTTAAATAATAAGCTAAAATGGCTTTGTCTGTTTTTATTTACACAGGCAAGTATGTGCACACTCACCACTCCCACATGCCATCATTGGCATATAAATTGTATCTTATATGCTCCCACCCCCAAAACACATCTGAAAACATACTGGGTCAAATCTGCATGTAAAGTGCATGTATTATAATCACTGAATGTGATTGATACCTCCTAGAACAACTTTGTTAGAGGAAAATTAAAGGTCACCATTTAGACACTTGTTTTTATTTTCAGTTACCTGAGTAAGTTTCCCACTTTTAGCCTCCCATATTTTTAAGGAATGATCTGTGGACCCTGTGACCATGTGCTCAGAATCAGCAGAAAATGTGACACAAGTTATTTTGTCATTGTGATGAAGAGTTTGGATATGTCTCCCATCTTCAACAGACCATAAACGAAGACTAAATTGAAATGAAGAATGTTAAGTTAAAAAAGGCAACCAAAGATTTACAGAGTAGAAGAATAAGCACCCAAGGTAGACTTTTAGAAATAGTTAACTTAAAAGAATATAATCTTGTAAACATAAACTTCTTCAATTAAAAAAAAACATTGATAGTAGTTACAATAAAATAATTTTAAATAATTTAGAAATCAAATAATTGGGATATCAAATAACTTCAAACACCAAAAAATATGCACATTTACATGCATTTGGCACACACGTAAATTCCATGACCTATCATTCTGAATGCATGCCTTAATTATAACCATGTATACAATAACCTGTTTTTCAATTATGATACTGCTTGTTACAATGAACAAAGCAATTGACATGAAACAACTTTGATACTTCCATCCTTTAAATAAAAGGCCAACCAGGTAATATGTTTTGCAGTAACTGTATTTTTTTAATATCCACTCCAATTTATCTCTTGCGGGCACAAAAGAGACAGAAATGGACATAATATTCTACTGACCTATGGCTTCCATTCCCAGATATGGCCAGTTTACCACTGGGTGACACAATCAGCAGTAAGTTGGGGGCTCTATACACAAACAGTGTCTCCCCTGTATCTGCCTTCCAGATGTGGATAGTATCATTGGCAGCTGTAGTCAGTACCCTGATGTTGTCTGGTAGTATGGTTGCATTGACTGCTGGTGATTGGTGCTCCTATAAAGATCAAAATATAGAATTCTTATATTTGCCTTTTCAATAAACAAAATATCATTTTGGGAAATATGGCCATTTTTTAATTGAAATTTTGTACAAATTTGTTGAGTTATTAACACACTTGTACCTTGTATATCACAACTGGGATTGCCAGGGTTTTGTTCCACACTCTGAAGGTCCCATCTTTTGAACCAGACAAAGCAAAGGCATCGTTCACAGAGAGGGCTACACATGACACACTAGCCTCATGTCCCTTTAGTGTCTCCATGTATTCACTCAGTTCCAAATTCCATAATATACAGGTACAATCCCTGGAACCTATATCATAATTATAAAGCTATAAATTGACTTTATTTCTAAACATGATGATAAAAATTTCATATACAAATTAGTGCCAGATGAAACGATTTTTGAAAACAGAATAGGGCATGTTGACTTACCAATAAATTGCTGCTATAATATCAAAGGGAACAAGTATGCATAAATTGTAAAAATATTCTATTAGAATTTTTTGCAAAGAACATGTAAATTCCAAGCTTTACAAAAACAATATCAAACTTTATATAATCTTAGTTTTAGTACTCTTGAACATGGCTTACCCTATAAACAAGATTTGCTGTTAAGTCATATCATCTTTGTATAAAGAAAATATTAGAAGAGATGTCACTATAGTTATCACAAGAAAAAATAAAAAAAAGATATCATGTGATAGCTCTGGTGTGACTGTTTTTGATAATCCAAAGCTTTTGGTAGAGAATTCTGCCAACTGGACAAAATACTACGTTTTCTGACCTTAAAAAATGAAACCCATCAAAGAGGTATCATTACCATTAGGCACACAGATACATGTTTTATTAGTTTGTTTACATTGGATAATTCCATGAACTATTCAAATTGCAAACACAATCATTCAATTTAATAACTGTCTACCTGTAATAGCTGTCTTTCCATCAGGTGACATTGCCATACAAGTTATGGCTGCACTGTGGTTTTTGTTGCCTCCAGGGCTGCTGTCACTCTTTAAAAAATTCCATACACTAATGGTATTCTGTAAAAGAATCAATAATTTCTGCTGCTTGCCTGTTAATTTATTTTATAATAAAGTCAGAAAAAGTACTGGAAGTCAATTTAATGATATGACATTATTATTATCAATGAATGATTATAAAGAAAAACAGCAAAAACAACCTACCTTTGATGCTTACATGACATTAATCAAAATATTTTGACAATGATGATACTAATTAACAACCTATAGTTCTAAGTGTTGAAGAAAATCTACCAGGCTCTAGATCATAAAGATTGCTTCTTGGCAATGTGTAGTTGATAAATCAATTTCTAAATCAAATTAGTGTTTTAACTAATTGAAATTAGTTGGAGTACAGCTGTTTTACAAGGGGTAGGTTAACAAAAACAAGCTGCTGAGCTTTAGATAATTGTGTTAATATTCCAGTATGATGGCAAGCTTAAAAGTCAAGAGTTACCCCAAGCATCAGATCTGATGAGCTGCCTCGCTTCAGATCTGAAACTGGTCATGATCAACTTTAAAGTGGAAGTTCAATACCTTATCAATTTCAAAATCGAAATCCTACCTTAGAAGCTGTGACAATAAAGAACTCATCTTGTGTCACTTTCACACAGGAGACTGGTCCCGTGGTGAGGTAATGCTCATGTAGCAGCTCTCTGGTCCTCAGGTTGTACACTAGCAGGTGACAGTTCTTACATCCCACCACCACATGTTGACTGTCCTTTGACACGCACAGACTTGACACCTTCGTTTATACATGCATAAATTTGAACAAATCTTACCATGTGCACAATGTAACCTCAGCATGATATTACTATACATATATAGTCTTTGGCTGTATCAACCTCATATTGACCTTGGTCAAAGTCTAAAATGAGAGTGATGTCACAACAGTTGATGTTGTCTTGAAGGACACTGCCATCTTTTTATAAATATCAAATAAAAAAAAACAATTTCAGACTGGTGTCAATAATTGCAAAATATATCCTCTGTTTGGATAGGTTGAAGGTTTAAAACAGTGTACCAATTTTATGGTTAAATTTAAATGTAGATGTAAAAGTTAAATGTGCCATTTGTGGAAAAAAAAAACTTTCCTGAGGTCTGCAAAACAACATATCAACCTAACCCAATTATTTAATATCTAACTGGAAAACACATATTTGGAACATTTAATGGCCATTTTGTGTTCAGATTCTTAATTTTTATGAAAGAGAATATGATTCTGTAACAAAGGTAGTTTGGGAAAAGGGGTGTGGGGGCAGTGGTGGGAGTGGCAAGGATATACTAGTATCCTTCTAAAGCCTGGACAAATCTTTTCCTAAATAAAATGGCAGCTAGGTTTATTTTTTAAAGAATCCTGGAACTGCTTCCATGTAATATGACAGAAAAAACATATTAGCAAAAGTCTAACAAAAACAAATATAGTACATTGTAACTAAAATATATTCATTTTATGTAAAATAACTATTAAATGCAACTGAGTGAGTGTGGAAAATTAAATAACAGCATACTTCCACTCTGTGAAGATCCAGATTATGGACAATTGTTCCTGTTGTGAATGATCTCACTTCAATGATTCCATCCTCCAAACCTGAATAGAGTATCAATGAGTTAGTCATTTGGAGAGAATTAATTACAAAATCCCCCCAAACCAAACCAATACCAGGGCCATTATATTTCTCCAGCTATTCACTGGCTGCATGTGCACATTTCTTGACTTGTGAGCTGAGATAATATTGGTTTCTTTTACATTTCACCATGACTCCAGTGAGAATTTTTGAACAACCACAAAATCACCCAGCCTGTTTTGGTAGACATACAGTACCCCAAGGCTCAAACCCAACATTTAGAGAAAATGTAGATAAGAAAATGCAAAAATTAAATAATATCAAGGCTATAGGGCTAGTAGGCATAAAAATACATAATCATGCATAAGATATATCTGAACCATGTGAGAGTGAAAAGAAAGATAATGTGTAATTAAAATATAAATATTCTCACCCATAAGAAGGAAAATACTGTCCACTGATATATCCATAGTTATGACTGGGGAATCCAAGTCAACCACAGAGTTCAGTAGAGTCATGTCATCCATACTCCACATCTTTACTGTTTTGTCCAGTGAAGCTGTAAAATACATGTAAATGTATATATCTAAATTTAATAAGGCTTATTGATTTTTCATAATAAAACTCGTGTTTCAGAACTGCTGTGGGCCTGCTTCATCTTTTTCAAAATTTCTTACATGCCCACTTGCCACTTCGTTTACATATCAACTCACCTGTCACTAGTATAGTATCATTGGCATTCAGACATACACAGCTGACAGGACCAGCATGGTGACACTTGGCAAAGAGCATGGCGCCATCTATCAGTGAGATTACATGCACTGCAAAGTCCCTGCCACCAGTTACCAGGATGTCATCCCTGGTGTTCAAAGCCAGGCACAGCACTGTATCGTCATGAGGTCTGCAGTAGACACATGGAAAGTTTTACAAAACCAATGATTCAAAGAAAGAGTAACACATATTGGTTTTTATTTATTCACAATTTGTTACTTGCACTTGAATCCAAGAGTATAGGTACTGCATGGTGCGTGTAGTACTGCCAATGGTTTAATTTTACATCAATTTTACATCATGCCTAAGCTCATACATTGTAACTGTGAAAGATGTAATGGAATATCATGCAACTCAAAGTTACAAATCACATCAAGATAAAATGAGCTACACAATAAAATGTTTTAGGTTACAAACCTGTAAGTATCTGTACAGTCTCCAGTGGCTATATCCCAAATATGTACATTGCAATCTTGACTGCCACTAACCAGAAACTTGTTGTCATGTGATAAACACAGACAAGTGACCAACTTGGAATGTCCTGGAAATATATACAACTATGACGACTGTAAACAATGTACAAAATTAAGTCTTCAAGAGATTTTTCCCTTACTTTGAACATCATATAGATGCATTAATTAAAATCAAAAATGAATTAAAATATTTACATTATCAAAACTTGCCTTCAAAACTCATAATCTTCTTTTTTGAAGCCAAATGCCTCATTTGAATACTGTACGTAGTTGTAGTATAGAAGACATGCTGTCCACTATTGACGATGGCAACCAGCTCTGCTCCCTCTGGACAGTCCACCTCAGTGACCAGAGGTGACCTTGGGTCAACTAGCCAAGGGGTCAATGGGACCAAAATAGGCAGGTCAAAGTTGTCACACCACTGCATACATTGCATTATAAGGTTGGAAGTATGGCATGTGTACACATCTGAAAATCAAATGGCATTTTTTATCTAGACAGCAAAGCTGGCAAATTTACACACACATACAGCAAATAACACTGCAGCAATATTTATAAAAAGTAATAATAATAATACTTAAAGTAAATGAAAAAAATATGTCAGTTATAGGGACTGATGTTTTGGATAGCAAGAGCAACAGTGACGGTGACAGCAATGCCACAGACAGACACATGCAGTAATCAAAATAAATACAGACACAAAACCTGAAAGTTTGAAAGATGTGAAATAGTGTGAAAATGTGTGAAAAAAGGGTGAAAAGAAATGGCGGGTTAAATCATCACCTACAGTACCTTTGATTTTTCTCAGTCTTCCTATCAGTTCACTAGGCATCTGTAAGAAATCTTTGCTTAGTGTTTCAGAAGCCTTTGTGAAGCTTCTCCACACCAGGTAGAGTTCAGGGTCCAAGACATGACACTGTGAGTACTGCAGTTCATTGATGAGGCAGTGGACCCCCATTAGGTGTAGCTTTGCCATCAAGTATTCAAAGTTGCAAAATGTGTGCTCCTTAAATTGATCAACATCTCCTAAAATACAATAAAATATAAATCCTGAAATTAAATTACAGGTTGCAAGATGGAGTACACACAGACCCTTATAAGGTGTTTAATTACATTTTGCAAGATGCAAAAAAATGGGATTATTTTCATAATAGCCATGTTTTCAAATACAAAACAAAAAAATTTGAAAAAAAGAAGTGTTTTTATTTGACAACCATTAATTGCTCTCCATTTCAACATATCATACCACATTAAATGAAAAGTCTTTTTACACTTGATAAGAATTTATTTTTGGAATTTTATCAACATACCTGAGAAAAGGAGGTGGATCCATAATCCATTTAGTTTCCTGGTGTTATACTGGGACTCATTAAACACCAAAGGTTGGTGGGAGGTCATTCTGTTCCCCCTGTCCTCAAAGTGGACACCTCTGGCAGTGGACAACAGTGGTCTCTCTTGATCACTGGTGTCCATAAATGACATTGCCAGATTGCAATGAGTCTGCCTGATTACCTCCATTTTCTTGAGATATCTCTCCTTGATGATATCTGCATACACAGAATGCTTCCAGATGAACAAGCTCTTGTTTTCCATCTGGTGTCTGGATAAGTAGGGCTCTAAGAATTTGAAAAAAATGTCTTGTTAAGATTGAAGTTAAAACAAACTTTGAGCCCATTGTCAAAATGACAGAGTATAAAGCATAATTTCATTAAAGACTTATAATGTTTTGGGAAGATTCAAATTGCAGACACATATCCTATTGTATTGGGTTATAAAAATTATAACAATATTTAGGCTTTTTCATACACTTTATTACTAAAGTTACACCCTATAAGTTTTTATCAGGTATTTATCTGGAATATGTAAATTGATTTCAAGATACTTGACTTACCAAGTTGAAATCTGATGGCTGTCCATAACAAGTGAGGAAACCTAAGAATTGTTGGAGTATCCTGAGGAAAACACCAGAAAAGCACCTCATCGTTACGAGACAAAATGTCCAACAACTGTACCTCTGTTAGCCCATTAACAGACAGTGTGATATGTGTCACAATGCTCTGTATCACAGAAAGACTATATACTTCTTCCAGCCTATCAAGTGTTGAAGTGAAGTTGGTATGCAGGGTGCTTGCCTTTCCCACACTATTTACAAAATAAATGGATGGTGATGTTTTGTGCTTTTCTGCTTCACAAAGAGTCCATGCATGGAGAGGGTTTCCAGACTGGAAAAGGACCTTCTGCAAACTTTTCTTTCTTTCAGGAGACAAACACATGGAACAATTTGAGAACTGGTCCTTTATCAAACATGACATGTCCTGTTCAAGTAGCATAGGAACAGTAAGCAATGGCACCTTCACACAAAACTTCCTTTCAAGTTGGCTAATATGGGAGGGTTTTTGTCTGTTGCTTTCAGAGGTGTATGACATTATGACATGCACTCTGTGAGGAAGAAGGAAAAGAAGCCAGTCAATACTGATACTGGACAAAGGATTATCAGGTGTAAGCAAATCAATCCCATCCAATAATATGAGCCACTGTTTATGTCCCTGTGATAATGTCTGAAGCAAATAATGATAGCATTCCAAGAGACCCTGGAAATCATATCCTTCTAGCTTAAGATTCTTTTGGACCAGGTGCTGCAACTGAAGACATATACTGAGTAACAAAGCCTTTGGGGTAGAAGAGCAAAGAGTGAGTCCAACAGACCTCATCACACACAAGACATCAGTGCTGCAAATATCTTGTAAAATGCTTGGTATTCTGGCTAGAATTGAGCTTTTCCCACAACCCACAGGCCCTCTGATAAAAATTGGGTAATGCTCCTCCCTTGCCCCTTTTGAAAGTGACTCCTGTATCTGACTCAACACATCCTGACAGCCATAGAGTTTACCTCCACTTTTCTTCAAGAAAAACTGTGTGTGGACAAGGACTTTTTGATACAGTTTCATTTTCTTTGAGCAAAATGGATTTCCAGTGATCAAGAATGACCTGGTTGGCAAATGCTCAAATATGGCATTTTCCACCATATCAGTAACCGCTGTACCAAAGTTCAAGAGATAGTCAGAATGTTCTGGATTGGCAGAATTCAATCCTATTTTGTTCCATGGGAGATTAACCCTGTATCGATTTTTCTTACTGAGTGTGTTTTCTATGACTGTCCACAAGCTGCTGAGTCTCTTTTGAAAGTCTTGATCAGTTTCACTGTTCAGCAGACCTATATCAGAAAACTGAGAGGCAGCTTCGTCATCTCCATTAATATCTGAAAAATAATTTCTCAAATGCTTTAGGTTTGAACATTCTTTTTTTTTTGCTTTAAATATGCAACTGAAGTTTTATGTGTTTTAATAATAAAAGAAGTACTTTTTAAAATTGTATCTGCAAAATATACTTTGGGGAAATTATTATTATATAGATATCATTTTAACAGAGAAACCTAGCTGACAGCACAATTAACCAACCTTCCATGAGCCTCACTACAGACATGCATCTTTTGGGAGACAGTTCAAATGCTCTTCTAACAAGCTGATCTACACCTACAATGGTATTTGGCCAGTCATTTAGAACGATATAGCCTTTGCACCTTTCTCATTCATTACCTAATTTTCACACAAGTATATGGTGTCTTCTTTTGTATTGCAGCCCTGTACCATGTAATACACTTATACAGACATTGAAAGCTACTATATGAAGGCTGAGAAGATAATAAGGACACTATGTATGTTTAAGATAAACATATCTTTAATATTTTATTGTCTTTAAGGTCTGCATTTGGGAACACAAAAGCCTTTGCAGAATATAAAATATGTCTATGGGAGATTTTCATACACGTGATGAGTCACTTTAAGTATAGTTATTTGCCTTATGTTACAATTTATCACTGGTCAAATGCACAATTTGTAATGTGTAAATTAGAGTCTTGGTTCAGGCTGACTACTTGCCTCCTGTGTAGTATTCACTCAGATCTTTACTCTGAGGACCCTCAGCAGATGCAACCTCTAGTGATGTCTGTAGGATTTCCTGGAGTTCCTTGAATGTCTCCAACCAGTCTAACTGATCACGCTCTCTCAAGCCCTGCATTTCTGGATTTCTAAAAGAGGTGAATTAGGTGCACATTATAAATTTTCAATCTCTCAATTTGCTTTACTTTAAAAAGTTAGAAAATGTTAAGAAAAGTTAGACATCCATGCTGCTATAAAAATAAATTGAATACTATGTGTGTGTCATATAGATTTCCAATGTTAAAATAATTGCTTGTTAGACAATTTCTTTTCACTTGGATGTTCCCTAATATTTTTGAATTCCATCAACCTGGTGTCTGTGATTTTTGTTGTAACCACTAATTCAAATTAAAATAATATATAAAGAAAAGTGTTGCATTACCTGCAATCATAATACTTGAGCTTCTCCCTTGGATCTTTCAATCTGTACACTGTAGGCCTTAGTACATCATCCTTTATATACCATGAATTGAGCAAGCACATATCTATGAAAAGTAATGCATTATTAATATAATCACTGACTGGGCCTTGGTCAATATTACTTTTCTAAGATCTGAAAAAAAAATGACCAAAAGCAAATAACATGCTTTATCAGACCTCACATCCCAGAATATAAGATTGCATACTAAGCTTATTATATAATAATTTGACATGTTGCTTTAAAAGTAAAGAAGCCAAAATTTAAATTCATATTAGAATATCAATATCAATAAATGTAGATTTTTATATCAATATAGATGCCATTTTGGGCCTGAAAATAACCTTTGAATTAAATTAATACATATTGAAGATAAAATCACATACTCATACAAATAGAAACAAAACCACTAGTCAAAGGTGAACATTTTGCCGCAAAAGTTAACAATTCACTTTTGAGTTGTGTCAAAGGTAAAAATAAATTTGAGAGACTTGAGAGATTTTTAATCATGCACAAAGTTATGGTTTTGTAACTTTTAGATGACTGTAGTACAATTATGAATTACAATTATATATAAAAACCAAACTTGCAAACAAGATTAACTTCCTTATATGTACACTGAAAAGACCTTTTAACGACATTTTGGACTTGAGTGTGACAAATTAAAATTTACAAAATAATAATAATAATAATAACATAACAATCATAATACCTTTTCCAGCTTCACATGCTTTGGCAGAGATAATATCAAAATCTTCTGCTTTAATATATGCAGGTAGTGGCGTTGGACCATATTTGTTTCCAGTTAAACACTGAAAGCATAATTGTAAAAACTACATTTAAGATGAAATGCAGAGTGAACCACATTTTGCATTCTTGAACTAATTTTGTATAAATATAAAAAATGTGAAAAAAATAATGTCATTTCAATAACTATATACAATTAACATAGAAATACATAATCAAAATAATTTTATTGCTGACTTCAATTCAGAACATTTGTGATTTCATTGTAAGTATGTTTCTTTAAACTTTAAATTCAGATAAAAAATACCAAAAAGAAAGGTCCTTGTGATATTCTATGACAGTCTTCTAGCTCCAACATGCAGAGATCAAACAGAGATCTGTCATAGCTGGGGTCCACATAAGTGCCATGCAGGGGGTCAACCAGTTCTACATCCAAGCCATGCTGGGAACAGTACTGCTGCAGCTCTGGTAAAACTATTTCCCACAAAATGCACCTTTCCAACTGAAAGTCTGAAGTAAAAAAAAAAAAAAAAAAAAAAAAAAAAAAAAAAAAAAAAAAAAAAAAAAAAAAAAAAAAACCATGAATATTTGCAGTAAATTGTAAATGAGTGAAGCACAGCAAAATCAATACAAAATTGATACAAATAGTGTTTCAAACCAAAACTGATACTTGCTTTAAAATTTTAGCAAATTGGCAGCGAAATAATTTGTCTGGTTATAAATCATTCATGCCCCTTAAAACGTGCCATGCAGTACATAACCAAAGATTTTTTAAACCTCAGATAAAATTTCAAAATGCTCCATCTTTTATAATTTTTGTATATATACCTGTAATCTGTATGAAAGAACAAAGTTAGGCTGAGAGAAAATAAAGTTTGTTTTGTTGTCAAAACATCGGTACATGTTTTTAATGTAGTAAAGGGGCATTACTAAATCAGAATGTTGGAATTGCTACATATATAGTCTCTCCTGCATGCTACTATTTTGTGAAATATATAATCTTTCTTTAGATTATGTACATTGTACCTTGCTACCAAGATGACGTGCTCATTTACTACAGTTTTCTGTTTTAACAATACCATGATGTAAATGCCAAAAGTCAATGGAAATAAATTTAGCATGAATACACTCACACAACTGTATTCTTGGAACAAAACCAAATGTGCTACAGAGATTATAATAAAGCCATCTGATCTTCACACTTCAAACAAGAATCTCAAAAGAGATGTTCTTGCATAATCTAACAAACGTTTCTATCATGACATAAACCTAGATTGACAAACCACATGGCATATGGCATCTCTTATCTCTAAGTCACTCTATCTACATTGTCTAAGTGCTGATCATTTTTAAAGTCCTCAGGTAGAGGCCACAGTAATATCTGTAACTTCATTCCTTGAAGAAGGTGACATTCCCTGAAGAAGAGTTATTTGAACTCTAATATTTTCTCAAGTCACCCTGAGAAATCATCATTTGAAAAAACTATTATTATTACTGTAACTGGGAGTATGGCATCTGGTGATATTCTTTACTGGATTTGCTTAATTGTAATTCTGGCATGCAAAATGTGAACCTGCTTACTTGAACATTAAAGCATATAATGACATACCTGTTATTTATAGGCCTATTAATAAAGGACAAACCTTTCTAATAAAAAACATTGAAATCAATAAAAATAAGACCTACATATTTTCTTGTCTATAATTAACAAGCAAGAAAATGACATGCTGAATTAAGAATGAATGAAATTTTTATATTCACTAAACATACAGTGATCGGTTTAGATAATGTGGTAATGTTACATACCAGATTGGGTGCAGCAAATAAATATTTTGACTGCTCCAGAAGACTGAGAAGGTAAATCCACCAGCTGACCTTCCAGTGTCTTTGTTATAACATCTTCTTCGTGATCTGTCAACATTTCCTTTGTTTGATCAGTTCAATTTTGGTGTTTTCACTTTTTTAAACCATTTGATCTGTGATCTGCAAATGCATTTAATGAGAGTCTACTCAATAGGTTTAACCTTAAACCCATGTGTTCTTTGGTTGAATATCAATTGTAGAATATTAATTCTATTTATTTTTTCTGCTATTCTTTATCCCAGAACTTTTGAATACAAATTTAACAAAGAATAAGGAAATTCTACAATTTTTGGTTATTCTGTCCAATTTTCTCTGACTGACATCTCCTATGTCCACAAAAAAGCAATTTACTTATAGCACCCTCCTGTTGATTGTCAAGCTTTGGTCTGCTGTACTTCATTTCTACTTACATTGCAAAATCTGTCTGCGCAACACAGTGAGCTTCATCATCTCTTATTCAACCTTTATATTAACACCTTTTCCCACACTAGTGTACTACAACTAGAGTCCCCTTTATACCTAGAATCTTCTATCCAATGTATTTCACCATGGCAACAGAGCAATACCAGTTTTAACTCAATAATATATAGATCCAATAAGAGAGACAGCTTGAAATAAATGAGGAACATTAAATCAACTGCCATTGGAAAGGTTTATACAGTGTATGGTCTAGAGAGAGTCTGTGACTGTGTAAGTCATTTTTTAAAAGGATTTCTGATACCACCAGCTGTTATGCTGCATGACACCTTTTAAACAATGATATTTCCTAAATGACAATATGCCAAAGCACTGCTTAATGAATTGCTGATGACTTGGATTCATGTACTAGCTAAACATTTCTCTAAAAACAATAATTTATTGGTTTTATATGCATGCCACATATACTGGTACTCTGTGATCTGGCATTTCTACCTAATTAATGAGAAAAACGGAATAAAGCTTTTTACATCAATTACTGCAACCATGGCAACAGCAATGACATGGACAGACATAGAGATCGGATTATGTACAGACACATACAGTGTCTGTATATAAAATTATATTATTTAAAAGGAAATCATATATGAATCATTTGATAAATATATTTAAAAAAAAAAAAAAAAACCAATTACGGTATTAGAACTGGATCAAAGCTCTTCCTAACATTGAATTTTATAAAAACTGCAAATTTCTGGTGACCTTTGAGCAATTATGAGAGTTGTCAATTTTTATTTTCTTTTTAAAAATAGGTCTCAAGGGCATGGGCTATTGTGACGGTCAGGTGAAATTGATAATTGATACAATATTAGGCTTTTCGAGAAGAATGTGCATTTTAACTGAAATATGCAAATTAAACCTATAAAAAAGAATCTTATTAACTTACGTGATTAATCAAGACCACACATTTAGAAAAAGGTAAAGAGCTTGTTTTTAGTTTTTTTTTCTTCATTTTCATTACTTTTATTTAATTTGCATTCAGGTTTCTAATACTGGCAATTAATAAATGCCATTAAAACAAGATTTCAATCATGACATGTATGAAATTGTACTACATTACTGTCACTTGAACTGTGTTCATGTGAAAGCTCCCCGGCCAACACTGGTTGGGATGATACAGCACATTCTATTCTAGCAACACCAGAATGTTCAATAATAGTTGGAAAAACTGGTGAGCCAAATGTCTTTGTGCATAAAAAAATTGATATGTACAAAATCAATATTCCCCAATATGCCAAGAAACTTATTCATTAGAACCTATGGTCTAATTAACCTATATAGGTATGTAGTGGTTTCATCCATTTCTGATATCACCCAGTAATAAATCTTGTCAATGATAGCAAATATTGTATCACATTTCCTGATTTTCCTTGTACCTGTAGTAATTTTCTATGGCCATATATGTGCAGGTCAATATATAAAATGCAAAAGTAAAAGGCTTTATATTGCACATGAATGTGGATGCTGAAATCATAAAAAAAATCTATTCATACTCTTACAAATAATATGAAATACATAAATAGAGATTCTGTTCACATGAATAAGTTTCTTTCATTTACATATACTCACCTGTGTTCATGCATTGTATGCATTTGTCATTTTTTGTTCTAAGACTTCCTTAACCAAGTTATATTGTATGAAAAATTTTTTCAACTCTGCTATTAAAAAATCTATAATTGGAAAACTAATTAATCAATAAATAAAGCAAAATAACACGTAACTTTGGTTTTGAAAATGTTCACTTGTGTTGTATTCAAAACTAGACTTGTTCAAACTTACCAGTGCTATAGAAAGAGGCCTTAACTGTCAAGTTTTTTCAGATACATGACATGCATTGTAGGTATTTTCTCCCAAATATAAGTCAGAAGCATCAAATCATATCTCTTTTGAAACTTGAGCAAAAATCCTCATCCCGTGAGCAGTCTGTAACTGTAATAAAAAAAAGTCGCTAGCTAGCCGTGTTCAAATCTGAAAAGCAAAACATTCTGATATATATAAATATCCCGTGATTACAAAGGGCAACAACAGTTGTTAATAATAATAATAATAATAATAATAATAATAATAATAATAATAAAAAGTAAAGATGCGGAGGAAGGATATGAAACGTACAGGGAATTGTTGCAAATGGCTAAATATGGCATTTGTAAATTGCAAAACGAAACCAGCGGTTAAAGATTGGGTGCATGATCACGTGAGTAAACAAAAGCATGTGACACTTCGTCAGGCTGTTATCACCGGGATTCCGTTTCGTTAGATCTGCCAGTACAGCACCGTTCAAAACAGAAGAAGGTAAGCGTTTCTATACATAGTTATTTATATTTTAATTTTATTCGCGATGAAATAGTTACTGCTATTTTCATACCGATTATCACGCTCGGCTTTTTTTTTTGTCTCTAAGGGGTCTATGGCGATTTTATGAAATTTTACTTTTTTTGTTTGGTAGACTAGTATGGCACTCTGGAGTTGTTTGTGTGGTTTTAAGTTAGATTTACCCGGTTTATTAACCAATCAAGGTAACAGTCCAGCGTGGTCATTATCTGTATTAGTATGAAGCTATAGTATGGGATGTATGTCACAAAGATCGTGAAATTCAATGCCTTCACGTATACTTCCGGGTTTAGTTTTTTGTCCTTGTTCCTTATATATTATAAACTTAAATGTTCCTGCTTTTGGTAAATGCGTGGTAGATGATTTGTGAATTAAGGTACTTCTCTGTTAGTCCACAAGAACAAAACCATATGTTACATTTGAATATTTTACTGAACATTTGACTTCGACTCGAGTTTGAGGCTGTTGCGTAATTTTCTCACATTGCCAGGTATATAGTAATGGGTATATCAGCAAAGAGCGTGCCTGTGTACATCAAATATATAATCAATAAGGAGTCAATCGTTTTACCGTTTTACAATGAAAAATATCAATCTTTGTCATGCAATGAAATTACAGGAAGTTTGCAATAACCAATAAAGCAAGGTTAACCTTACAGCTGTTATAGCTACTTTTTTCATAGAATTTTGATGTGTGGTAACAATCTTATATTGTTTTATAGTATTGTAATACTTGAAATTTATATCAGCAGTATAATATACACTAGCTTTTCAAAGAGTCATTTTAGGAAAGTGATAATAAGTTTGATATGGATTGCTTTATATGTAAAATTGAAAATTTCATATGACATAACATTCGTTATTTACAGTAAAAGTAATTTGTCAAAATGGCAAATTATGGTGCCCCAGGTGGTGCCTATCCACCATATCAACAGCAACCACCTGCTGGCTACCCACCTGGTCCATACCCACAGCAGCCTGGAGGTGGGTACCCTCCTGGTCCATACCCACCACAACAACCACCACCACCACCAGGTGCTTACCAGCCAGGGCCCTACCAGCCACCACCTGCTGGGTGGAACCAAGGTCCACCACCTGGTGCTTACCCGCAAGGATACCAACAACAACCAACTAGTGTGTAAGCATTTACCTTGTTATGGCTTAAAGAACTTAATGAAAGTTATATATATATAATTATTTTGACTTGTGGGTGAGGGGAGGATTGACATTTTGAATTGGGTGCATCTGGATTATCTAAGGCCCCTCAGTCTATAAGGTGTCCCTCAATATTGTTTCAAACCATTTCCAAAATTTTAAGTGTAATTAATGTTTTTAGATTTTGTTTAAATAAGTCTAAATTAATAAACGTTGAAGACCACTAACCACACTAAATGTGGCAGAGTCATCAGTAAAAACTCTATGACCTTTAAGAACAATTTAAACCTTCTAACCAACCGAAAGGCCTACATAGCTAGTAATAAGGCTAATTTGACCTTGACGTTTTTGAAGAAATGGCTTAACGTCTGAGAAGTACTCACTAGGACTCTCCTAGCTTTCCTAAGATAGTAACAGCCAAGGTCTCAAGAGAGAAGTCGTCAATTTGACTGCTCCTATTGGCTGGCCAACTCAGGCAAAAAAAAAAAGACCTACCGTAAAAACTTGAAAATTTCGTCACTTAAAAATGAATTGATATTTTAAAATGCATTAATCTGACATGACAATATTAGGTGAAAAACTTTTTGAAATTATCAAGAGGCCCATTTTCAAGTTTGACAAAATTTTCCAAGTAAAAAAATTATGTTGGCAGAGAATCATCCTCCAACAAAATTTTCAAGACCCATTAAGTTTTTACTGTAGTCTAAGTGTTGAAATCGTTGCATAGTGGCAAGGAATATGATGTTCGCTGACCCAAAAGCAATTTATTTTGGGACATTTGGGGTTTATACCACTCCAAATATTTAACACTCGCAAATTACTTATGAAATAAAACTTGCTGAACTCATGTGCCATGTTGAAAAATAGGACAAGTAACTGATTACCAGAGAGTCCACTTCCATTTGGTTATGCTGCTCTATTGTTCTTGCTTTTACTGCATATTACTTGGTTAAGAGGCTCACATATATGTTATATTTAAAGAAATACTCATGGAAGCAGTTTTCAGTTTTCAAAAATCCTAGTTATAAAAAATGTATTTGCATTTGTATTCCACTTCATCTAGAAAAATGTTCTCAGCAACATTATAAAGCAAAATTTGCCAGTCAATCGCTGAAGCCATTGAACTCCATCATAAGTAGTGAGAAGCAATAATAGCAAATTAAACAATGCCAGTTTGAAGGAAGTCTTACCAGTGACATCTGGTAGTTTTCCACCTGTTGGGGACTGATTGTTCCTCATATTTTTCCAGGGTGTACGTGGATGATCACCACCATAAGCGGCGGGATGATGCAGAGGACTGTTGCCTGTGTGCCTGCTTAGCCTGTCTCTGGACTTGTCTCTGTTGTTGTTGTCTAGAGGCGATGAACTAGTGGGATCAGAAACAAATGAAAAATATTCATGTTACAAAGGGATGGATTATGTGGAATATGTAAATGAATGATTATGGAATATGTAAATGAATGATATTCAAACTTCACAGTAGCCTGTTCTAGTTTGTCCATTCCAGAATACAAACAATGCAGGTTTATTTGTAAGTAACTCACATATAAATAAAACAATGATCTACATTCAGCAAGTGCCTTAAAATCTGCATATTTAAAGATGTTGAGTGCAATATTAGAAAAGCAATCACTTTCATGTAACAGACTATGAAAAGGAAAATATATTTATCATTATGTATTTAAAAAAGGTATTTCTACAATTTTTGTGCATTTTCACAACTAACGTAGACAGCCCCTACTGTTCATAATTACCTTTGGTATCTTTTGCATCACCCATGGTTATATTAGTGCACTTTAGGTAGCAGTGTTGGCTCCTTTCACTAAATATATATCCATTCCTGTACCTGCAGATTGTACGCATTTTGGTGCTTGCATTTTTTCACTAAAAATCATGACAACCGGACTAGTTGAAGCAAGGATTGATACGAAAATGTAAATAGCACTGTCTACAGTTACTATTTTTAGACTAGAAAATTATTCAGGAAGTGATAGCTACTTCATTAAAAAGTGTTTATTATTATATATGTTATATATATATTTTTTTATTCATGGTATTGTTATGATTATGTTGATGTAAAAAAATGTATATTTTCTTTGGTTGAGAAAATGAAAACGAAATGCACTTAATTCGTTTTGTCCACTTCTTTATTTAAATGAATTGTAGAAAAGGCCTTTATGTTTACATCTTTTTAATAAAATGAGATTGGACACGAAATGACCCCTTTGAAAAAGGAAAAGAAAAACCTTGTATTGAGGGAAAGTTGTCCATGTTTCATATAAAATTGCATACAATAGTTGGGTCTATAAAGACTATTCAATATATAGGTTAATTATCTTGTCTGACACCTACTGATAGAAGTTTGAATGTGCACAGGTGCACATACTCTCATAAGACAGTTGCTTCACACTAACATAATATCATTTGCAGTCTTATAAGTCAAATGCAAATAGCAATATATGACATGACACTAGTATCAAAGACTTCTTGTGGGGAAAATGTGAAAGAAATGTTATTGGGCAATTGATAAACTGAGATGCCTTTGGGAATCACTACATTTTCCTCAGTGGTATTAATTCCACAAGCAACACAGTTTTTGACCTCAAACTAGGTAGCAGAACTGAGAAATCTCTTCTTACTTATAAAAAAAAAATGTAAAAGTGTACGAGTATTCTGTATTCAAGACACTAAAATGTATGATGTCTGTTAAGCAGACAAGTTTTTTTTTCCATATACTCTGCTGACAATTATAAAATATACCACCCATTTGGGCAAATTCAAAAACAGCAGCTTTTAATGAAGAAGTTCAACATTTCAGATAAATTAATAAGCACTTAGTAAAAAAGTTGTAAATTAAATAATCTTTAAAGATTAAGTTGCAAAAGAAACCCTATTCTTTAAGGCGTATATCCAAGATCTGTACTTCACATAAAGCAATACCACCTCGAAAGCAAGTAAAACCATTATTTGCACGTTCTCTCTCTCCCCCCCCCCAACCAAATATAAATAAATGAAAAAAAAAATATATAGTAACTGTTAAGGGGTTTAGTTATTCAACAATTTCTATTATTATATTCAAAGAAAAAGATACAAGAATCTCTTTTACAGCTGACAAAAGACCCTATATTTAAATACTGAATGTAAACATGTCATTCAGAGCAATGAATAATTTAAAATGAATTTCAGATATAACGTCCATAATGAAAACAAACAGTCAAAATTTTGGATATTTAAAAACAATTCTTAGCACCATGTTGGTTTAGAACTTCAGGTAGAGTGGTGGTTATTTTTGCGGTATCTTCATACACATAAAAATATGAAAAGTCACTTATTACCCAACACTATAATGTTTTTTAATTAAAAGCATTCAACAAATCATGAAATTAAAGTTTTGGGGATGAACTAATTTGCTATGCAGTATTTTTCAATCTTTGGAAGTTATTATTGATCATAAACTGGAAAGTTATGCAGTTATTCATACTGTTTGAATTCAGCAAGTTATTATGGTAGACCCTACTTCATATTCTGTACATTGTCAACATGAATATCTGACCCCAAGTTCAAGTTCCTTTCACTGCAAATCCATTCTGAAATTGCACTCTTCTGTGGCAGTTGGTTTCACTTCCTTCTACAATTCGTTTATGGTGTTTTGATCTGCTGTCCTGCACTTCATTTCCATTGTCATTGAGATTGCCTTTGTTGCCATGGTGCCTTGCCAGGTTGCCATGGTGCCTTAGACTACTGTCCTTAAATATGCCTACTGATGGTGAAACCTTCCCTTCATTTTTGCCACTACAAACAGACCACTGCTGTTGTCCTTGTGTTTTGCTACATGTAACAATTTTGCGTTGGACACCATTTTGAAGTTGTGCAGCGTTACTACTTTCTTTTTTACTTTGTGGAGAAGAGTGTGACATTGGAGAGCTGAATCCACTATCCCCCTGTGTGGAATTTGGACTACAATTAAAATGTCCAGTATTTTTATGGTTTCTGAGAGCCATATCTACGTCATGGTTTCTGTTTCTCAGATTCCCATTGCCCATAAATTTCTGAGAGGTCCTGTGGTCACCATGTGCATTTTCTCTCCCCAATTGTAAATTAACTAATTCCTGTCTAATGTGACAATCCTTGGATTCTTCATTTTTTCTATTTGATTGATGTTGAGAATTTGTGATGCTTTTTCTCAATTGTTGATCTTTATCTGCTTCACTAGGTGGAATAACTTGCAGTCCAATACAATTCACACCATTGTCCTTTGAGGTTGTATGGCCAGTACGTTTATGTGGCAGATAACCCAAATATTTAGCTTTCATTTCGTGATTATGAAATTGTGGAGCACTCTCAGTAACATATTGTCCAACTTGGTCCACCTCTTCATCAGAAGACCACATAACTTGATCTTCTTCTTCCAATGTGTCTCCTGTCAAAGCTCGTGGGGTGTACCGTACAGGGAACCTTCCAGGCAAATCTGCAAGATTCCTATCATAATTCTGCATGTGTGGCCCTGAATTTTCTCCCCTATATTTTACACTAGGTGGTACTGCCCTGGTGGGGCACTCCTTCACTGTGCTACATTTTTCAAGATCACTGCCACTTTCAGATTCAGTTTCACTTTGTTTGAGGCCCATGCCCCAAGACTGCTGATACATCAGATGAGGATTTCTGAACTTGTAGGCATTGGAAGTATCTGGGTTTTCTTCATCTGTGCTGGAATATCTACCCAGTTCTTCTTTCCTCATATGTGGTGATGCTTTGTGGTCATATGATTTCTCTCTATGATTTCTATGCTTAGATTTGCTCAATGTTTGTCTCTTTCTGACTAAAGACTCGCGTGATTTATTCAACATACGTGAAGTCTTACTGCATTTTTTATGTCTTCTTTGGTGTTTTGATCTTGTTACATGTCTCTGATTGCCTTCTAGATTGGAAGGATTTTCATTAAGGGCTTCTTGTTTTGTTGGTAAACCATTTTCATTATTCCTGAGATTTCTATGATCTAAGGACATACTTCTATCACACTGGGGTCGACTGTTTGGGGGTTGCCCCTTGTGATGATGTTGATCCAGGTCTTTAATTGCACTCTGAAAGTGGTGCCAGGTGTGGGCTTTGGGTATCAGAGAAGACTGGTGCACATTCTTAGAGTTCTCTGTCACTTGACTTTTAATACCATGATGCCATGTTTTGTTCCTCATATCATATTGCTCTCTTGGGTGTTTTCCCACATACTGGTGCTCTGTCTTATAGCTGTCATTATGCTCTTTCCTATGGTTTTCCATGTAATGTTGTCGAGCCTTATGGTTGTCTTGGTTGTGGTGCTCTCTGTTGTTGCTCCCATTTTTATGCTGTTGGTACCATTGCCACTCAGGTGGAGGAAATTGGGCAGAAAATGTGGCATGTTCAACCTCTTTGGAGGACTCTGGTTTCTTCTGCTTGCATTTATTCCACAACTTTGTGAGAAAGGATGGTTTATCTGCTAAAGAACACAAAAACAAAAACAATTTGTCAATTCAAAATTCAACAGATCATTGCAGACTAAAATGTGATGCATGGATCTCAAAATTTTAAGATGCTACAGCAAAATGTGCAATCACCTACTATCTTCTTTCTAAGCTTCAAATTACTTCTTTTTAAAATTTTATTCAACAAATTAAAAAATTAAAATCAGGATAAATTGACAGATTATCAAACACTTTACAAGACCACGTTTTTAAATACAAAAATGATTCTGAAAATTACATTTTGTATGAATTATTCATGCAGATATTTTTTACAATAAAACAGCAAGACACTGATACCACTAATGTAATTTTCCAAAATAAATTACCTTGTTTTTCTTTGTCCTTCTCATTATTTAACAAGTTCACATTTTCATTCATTTCCTTAAACAAAGTCTGTGCTTTATCCTCTTTGTATCTTAGAGAGAGAGTTCGACTAAAATTTTCTTTATCAGCCGCAGTGTTCAATCTACTTTGTTTCTCTCTCATAGACTGGCTTCTCTCTAATTTCCTCAGGTGTCGTACCTCCTTCTCAAAATTGGTCTGACATGACTTAGTTTTCACTTGAACTTTACTTGGAGTGGTGACAATAGGGAGAATCATGGTTTGCATGGGAGACATGGAACAAAGAAGTGGAGATAACTTGGCCAGCTCGTTTTCTGTTACTCCTGTTCCAATGTGTGCCATTGGTTCTTGTACAGTGATATTGAGAGGAACATCATACATGTCAGGAGTTACAACAAAGTAGCCAGTGCCTGGAAATATAATAATTTCAGTTTTTTAGTTCACTGCATTCAAATTTAATAACATTTCAATATTTTCACAAGTAAAGATGAAATGAGAATATTGGAATGTAATCTAGACATTGTCATTTTTTGGAGCAAGCAGATATATGATGAAAAAGAAGACTTTTTACAGAAACATAGTGTTTTTCATCTGTGATGCATATTCACAAGATATTTTTGCACTAATGGAATCTTGCCTCAGGCTACAATTCAGGGGGTAATTAATGAAAAAAAAATTAAAATTTTGATTTTATTTACCATCTAGATGGACCTTAATTAAAAGCCTAAATAAAGATGATCTAGTACTCAAAGTTGAAGTGAAATATCTTTTTTTTTTTATCTTACACAAATGTTGTTTTAAAAGCATTTATCAAAACATTCCCCAAAGCATCTTCTCTCAAATATCACCTATTCATAGAGGTGTTATTTCACACAGTCATGATTTCTTGGAAACAGAACAAAAAAAAATCCATTCAAATTGGGAGCATTGTTTGCATTTTGTCATGCTATGGCTGATCTGCTGTGGCAGACAAATGGACCATTCAGAATGAGAAGAGCCAAGTGATAGCTAGGCCACGACCTAAATTAGGCGGACCTCCATGAAAGGAAAACTGCTTAATCCTGTAATGGTCTCTCTGCCTCTTGCACGCCTCTCCACGTGTCCTGCAGGGGCATAGTAATTAAATCTCGGGTCAATTCAACCGGTCTAGGGACGACACGTGGGGAGCCGTATGAGAGGCGGAGAGATCATTACGGGATTAAGCGGCCTTCCTTTCATGTAGGTCCATCATATTTAGGTCATGGCCTAGCTTGCACTCGGCTCTTCTCATTCTGAATGGGGCCAAAGGCAGCACTAGTTGGTGGGACACAGCAAACTGAATGTGTTAGTTGAGACAAAAATGAAGGCCTTAACACAATCTCCTCCACTGACTGCATGTCAACTTGTCAAGAGCATCGCATTACATTCAAAGCTGGGACAGCAGCTGATTTATGTCCTCCTCTCACTAAGCCACAGCTGCTTCTCAAATCTTAACCATTTATGGGACAAAGTCAACCGCTGAGGCCAAGAAGACTAATTTCATGCCAAACAACTTTCCTTTTGTTTTTTAATCAGTGTGATTTTCAGCAAAAATATGTCCTACTGTTTCTACAACATTCCACACAATGACATCATAAGTATCAAGACCTAAAATGCACATTTGTCTTGGAGTAATGAAAAGAATTGAGTGTGAAAGTTTATTGTGTCAATGGAGATTCATAATCCAATTATCACCTACTTCACCAGTTGATAATCCTGATGTAAAAATATGGTGTAAAAATCAATATTTTTATCAGCACTAAAAAACTAAGTTCATATGTCTCCATTACACAACTTTGTATCAAAACCAAAAATTGAAACAACTTCCATTTACCCCCCAAATTCAACTTGTTAAATATTTCAAAATCACCGCCAAGACAAATTATCAAACAATATCAATATATACCATAGATGAAAAGGAAAAGTCCACAAGATGTACTCTGTCCTCTACCCTGTGGTAAAAAAAAAGTTTTTTTCAACAGCACCTGTGCTTTGACCTATACTTATAAATATTACCTGCAGTGTGAACTCCCTTTGCATTACAGACTGTCCTCCATGACACCTGCCAGGACCATATAAAAGTTAAACCCAATGGAACTTGGTCACACCAGGGAGTTGTCAGTGTAGTTTTACATCGCAGAGAGGGAATTACAGACTTACAGAGCTAGCTCGAATTAAGCCAACCACAACCAAAAAGGCTCTAGATAATTAAGGCAATTATGGAACAAAATACTTTTACAAGCTGTCTAATATTACGCCTGTGATTAATCGAGATAATAGATAATCTGGTCAATAACTGAACAAAACATGTCATAGTCCTAGTATGACTACTATCTAGTGTCAACATGAGAATATTTGCCCACTCCAAATTTGTCCATACCATGTAATTATACAACAGATGCTTGTATGGGATATACTTTGTCTGTGACAGATCTCCTAAACTGTTGTTACAAGCTGATTAAAGAGTATTATCTTAGGGAAAATACACTATACCTGTTACAGGTATGTTTAATTAACAATATAATCAACTATGCCACAAAATAAGATTGTTAGCAGAGTCACCCTAAAGAAATATATGACCAGAGCAATAGCATTTCTTTAGAAGGCAAACAGAGAAATCAATATGATATTTCAGTCAATTTTCAACAAAAACACAGAAAGTAACCAAAATGGCATCTCAGTCATATTTCAAGTATTACAATATTAGGCAGCACGTGATGTTCAAATGCTCATTTTAACTTTACTTTAAATGAAATGCTCTTAGGACAATCTCTCTCTCTTTCTCTCTCTCTCTGATAATGCACAGAAAACAATGTGCGTGACAATTCATTAATTTAAGCAAGTAAATCAGCAGACTACATTCCAACATATTTTAGGTTAAAATACCACTCAAGCAATTTTGCTTCAGTATGCATATACACAAGCAACCTACGTGCCATTTCAGTAATTCTGCTGCAAATATCAGCTGGCAATGTTCCAACATATATATTTCACTTTAAAGGAAGCACATCTTTCTATCACTGCCACATCACTGAGTCACAAATGAACATCTGCCATGAACTAATCTGCAAAATTAACCTTCAAATCCCAGGCTATGTTTTCTTTATTAAACTCAAACTGATAGCCCCCACTAGAGAGTATTTTCCGAGCTAAATTGGGAGACGTCATGTAAATTATCCAAACTAGCTCCATATGAGGCCACTATTTTCTGAATAAATCAGTACTGACCTAACCAAATCATTCTTGCAGTTGACAGAATAAAAACTGCCAAAAATAATGAAGAAAGGAAATAGTAAGTTATCAGAAATTAAATCTAAAATGCATGCAACCATTGAGTATAAACTTGAGGAACCTTTCCTTTCTTAGTGATTTTTTTCTTCTTTTAAAACTTTTTTAGGGGAGGGGGGGGTTTCTAATAAAATTGAAAATATATCAAAAATATCAAAGTAGTGAACTGTGCCTGTGACACTTATCTAATTAGTAAGCACAGTCCAAGAAGTAATAAAAACAAAAAGAAATATAGGTACAGACAAAATTTTCTCAGCCCGTCTAAATTTAACTTGAAACCTCAGGTGTGCACATGCTCAACAACATGATATTTCAAAAAAAAAAAAAAAAAAAAAAAAAAAAAATGACAACAGGCTTTAACCTCAGGCACACAAACTGTTTGATAACTAAAAACAACCATTTCGATAATGAAAAACTGTTTAAATGCATAACACAGTCTCCAGAACAAGCAAAAAGCTGATGATGTTAATGTAGTGTTGTGTGCAAGTGATAGTAGACAAATGAACATATGTATTCACTTTTCTCCCTTTATTCTGGACAAGTCTCATTAGTGGTGAACACAAGTTGTGGAGTGTACAAATTAAGTTTGTTTCAATAAGAGAAGGTGAAAGAGTCAACTGGACGTCAACGAGGTGTAGTTTCAGATGTAGATCTTAGTCTAAAGAAATAAAACAGGAAAAACCACAAGCTCAAAAGGAATACGAAACATCAGCACACAGTTATGTCCCAAGGAGAATGGTCAACAGATCTGAACTCATCTAAATCACATCAATTCTCACAGTATTTCAAGATGCAGCACCTCTTTTTCCTTCATACAGCAACACAGACATAAAGCACCAGATTTCAATTTCAACCACTAATCCCTGCTACGCACCTGTGTGGAGCAGTTTCTTTTCCTTGATCAAGACACCCAGAGTGTCATATATGATGCCATTGGAGGGAAGCTCAACTCCGCTGTATGTGTCCTGCAGCTTACCCAAGATATTGCTCATGTCTGCTAACTCCTGAAATCAGAAATTACTCTCAGGTTTATCAATCTTAAATTCCTCTCTGTTCAAATAAAAACAAAGTTATCCTACTTATAGTTTAATTGCCAGAATTAAGAAAATGTTATTTTACATGGCAGCTAAACTGGAATCTTAGTACTTTCATTTGCAAATATATAGCATAAAAATACCATAATAAAAAGAGATATTATGGTCAATTTTAAAGCAATAATAACTTTTCCTTTGAGATTCAAAATTCCGCATGAAATACATTGTAAACAACGCATGGAAATATATATTATATTGTATTTTACCACTAAAACGGCCGTTGTTGTAGTAAAACTAAAATTAGTGCTTGTCAATAGGGCTTTCGATGCTTTTCTTCCCGGTCATCAAGGCATTCATTGCTAATGACGTAATGGTGTCACGCGGATTCTCGCGTTCAATCGAGACCAAAATAACATAAGGCGCCAAACGCATTAATGCAGACGCAGACGTAAGTTGCGAGTTTTTGTACAGTGCGTTGGATAACGAAAAGCCCAGAATGGCACACATTGTGGATATTAATGTATTTTTAACAAAAAGACGAATATATCTCATGAATCTTATATAGTGTTGTTGTTGTCTGCTTTTCCTGCGGTTTTAAGTAGGTCAACAGTGACTATGCGATGTCAGAGAGAGCTCCGTCAGTTAAAATCTCTTAAGAGATTTTAACAAAAAACCGTATGTTTAGGAAAAAAAACCTGGATTAACTATGAATGCAGGAATGGGGTCGCTGACCATTGGTAAGAATGGGAAAATTGCCGTTTACTCCAGGAAAATCCAAGTTTTGGCCAAAATAAAGAGTTATTATGACTTTAACTATCCTTCTATGCAAGTGCGATTTAAAGTCCATGGTATTATTTTAACCTTCAGTTTAACAAGCTTTACATGTCGTCCCTCAAGTCTCATGTTTGCTTTAAATAAGATTTTTTACCAAGTTAACATATATAACATCAGTGTCCAACAAATCAAACCAAGTATCATGCATGTTGAAAATCTCTTAGTGATGATACATTTGTGTCAAAATCAGTTTGGAATTTAAGAAGAGTGAATTCAGTGCAAAAAGCATTCATACTTGTTATGTGGTACATTTACATCAGAAAGGGATTAAGGTAACACCTGTTACAAACCATACTACCCTAAATTCTTTGTTCCATAGCCCAACTCTTGAAAACTTTTTTTAATGGGCAGTTCTGACAAAGATAAAACAGACTTGGTTTCTGAATCTACTTAAGATGACTAGCAGACAATGCAGTACACTTCCCATACTAGTATATATATATTGTCACATATAAAATGTATTAACTAACAAAGTTTGCATTCTTAAAATCTACTCTTATCAATAAGATTGATTGCAGTTAGTCAAGAGGCAGTGGCAACACCTTGTGGTTGATTTGCATGAAGTAATACAATCAACTTCTCTTGCCTTTGTTTATAGGGTCTTAGTGATGTAAGTCTTACCTTGTTAGCATTCAAGTCTGCCACAGCAGCACAGAGGGCCTCAGGTAGAGGTGTGAAGTGGGTCTGGGAGATGGTCTGCATCTCTATACCTGGGATCTCACCTGAGATATAGAGAGAATAACTGATGATTAAGAGAAAATACAGTTTATGTATGCTAATTGGCATTTTTAAAACAAACTTTGAACTTAAATTTCAATATACTGTGCAACAGGCACATAAAATAAAATATCAGAAAAATTATTTCAGTATTTCAGTTTGACAAATAAGTTCTTTCAAATGATATGAAATATGCACATTTTGAGAAGATTATTAAATATTACAAGAAAAGCAAAATAAATAGATTGAGAAAAAAGGGCTTAAAATAACTCCACCTGAAAGGTCAGATAGCCAACAAAATACACTGACCTATGTGGTATATAAAAGACAGCTTTAATGTAATATGACCACTGCTCTCATGTTACACATGAAACCAGTAGATTGCACTCTTTAAACTCAAACATGATGTTAAAGAAATTTTAGAATCTGTAGGTGCACTTGTTAATAAAAATGTTTGTCGCATCTACCTACTAACTCAGTAATTTTTTAACATGCATTGGGCAACCAAAACATTTTAAGATTTTAAATGTCCATGACATGTTGCATAATGGACATGTACTACTTTCCCAATTTGCTTTTCTGTGAAACAAATAATAATGATAATCATATTTTACATATAAAAAAATAACAAAATGATCTCATGGTCTGTTTGTAGTGGAATGGGTCAAATCAAATTAGTATCTTTAATCTCAATGATTTCCAACAACAGAAAGCCAAAGTATTCCCTTTGTTGTCCCACTCATCTTTAACTAAGATATACCTGTCTTTAGATTGGGTTCTAGCCTGCTGAGATAGACAGGCTGACCTATCTCCACTGGAAACAGGCTCTCAATGTTCATAAAACTCAAGTATATGTGAGAGTTTCTTTCACGCCCATTAACACATCAAAGGATCTCATGTTTGCCATGCATGATTTATTCTAATTTGGTATTACAAGCAATTATGTCTCAACATCCCAGTACATTACTGGTGTCTATCCTGAGGACATTTTGAAAAGATATGCACTATGTTCCACACCTTTTTCCACACTATTGTAACCATCTGGAGGCATTTTCCTAATTACCACAGGGAGGCATGATAAGCCTGTTAAAACCACATGCATACAGACACTTTGTGAAATAAAAAAACTCTAACATTTTCTTTACATAATCAATGTCTGCCTTCATAAACTCTGTGGTACCAGTGTTATCAAGATTTAATTGTGGTAATTTTATAGATCACCTGTAAGATAAGTTGTATGACAAGTCATCTGACAAGAGGGATGTGCTGCTACTAAATAGATGATAACAGGTAAGGGGCATGTATTACAAGTATTCTCTCATATTTGGGTAGAGATGACAAGATACTTGGTCAACTGTGTATATTATACCAGAAAAGAACTATTTTAAAGCATAATCACAAGTAGCCACAATGCACTCCATTACACCATTAATTTGTGCATTAAACTCAACTGCTTTTATCAATCTTCTACTGCTAATCAGATGTCCACTTTGTGGTCTTAAAATATTAAGGTGAACTCCTTAGTGCCCAATCAATTTCTTCTCAAGTTTGTTTAATCACAACAAAAAAGGCAACTTCAAGCTTTACTGGCATAGCCAGTGCAATATTCAATTTACATTCCTCTTTATGAAGAAGCTAAAGACTTTGTTTTCTTTTAATTCCAAGCAGCTATAAAAACTGCACTGAGTTATGTGTGTTGAAAGAAAGAGATTCAGAGCATGGAAGGCATGATCCATAAAATTGAATGCTTCAAGTTTAGAATGGATAATATACTGCTAGGACCATAAATGAACATCACTGGCACCCCTCCACCCAGATAAAGTCAGCAGTGGATTTCACTCTGATAAGAAATTGTGAGATTTTCACTATACAAGACCACCAATTCTGTCTATATATGTAAGAGTATCAGATTTATGTTTACACTGCATACTACCCATACATCATCTATTGGCTGTAATACTACTCTTTATAAACAACATTAAAAAGCAGGATTTCTAGTTTGGTAATCAATACTGAAACTATGATGAAAACTTAATAATTCATACCAGTTTAAAGGTGCTGAAACACGCATAGATACTCCCTCTTTTCAAGTGGTTGGGGGACACTTCTAACTGACCCTGGTAATCGATGAATAAGCAGGAAATATGAGTTTATTTCTTTTTAAATAAAGCTGTGGTGGTAATCAAAGACTTGATTAGATTTGTACAGGTTCACCTCGGCATTGTATTGCTGAGCCAAAATTTATATTGCAAACATAATGAGAAAGGCTTAAATGCAAGGTGACAATCTATTGTGTGCTTGTGGCTGCAGGGACTTGTGGCAGCTTAGAAACTGCATAACAATTTGGCCAAGCTGTTTTCTCACCTAGTTTCTATAAACTTATATGACATCACTTGTCTTATCCACACAGCTACTTGTGCATACTTCTCACAGTCTTAAAATAATAGAAAACATAAACCTGGTTCATTATTAAAGAGACCATAAGCAGTGAACAGCTGTTATGAATAGTGCGATAATTATAACATAGGTCTCCTGGATGCTGGGCTAAATCAGCAACAACTGTCCGTAAATTTGTAAGGGGAAGACAGCACATTAAGTATAGGTTTCATTTTAAGTTAGAAGTGATAAAGAATCCAGATACAAAATATCAACTGATAAAAGAAAACTGAAACTAAGCAGATGCACTCTGCATTTTTTATATTCCCAATACCAATTCAACTCTTCTTTTCTACAGGAATTGAAAAGGCATCCATTACCAGACTTGTGTTGTATGCTTTACATTTCAGCAACTAAAAGGAAGAAAGGTCAAATGCAAGGGAATTCATTCTCCAAGAACACTTACAGTCACAGCATATAAGCTGAGATTCAAAATGCTCTTCACTGAAAGTGTATGGGTGGGGTAGACAGAGAGTGATAAAGATCTATTACATAACTGGCCAAACCACTCTTCATCAACCTCCAGACATCCTTATTATGCAAACATATGATTTAACAATATGGTCTACCTGTATGAGAAAGTTCTATCACTGACCAGATTTCTGTGAATAGTTTCTTTGGTAAAACAGACCATACATTTAAATGAAATTGAGTAAATAAAAAAAAAAAAAGAATTATTGGTAAATGAAATAACGCAATTTTATATTGCAAATGTAATATCAAGCTTCCTGCAAACATGACATTGTGTGACCCAGTTACCAGCATAGAGAACCTTTGAAAGGATTTTTTTATCAGAAGTTTAGACAGGTATGTATGCAGAGTAGTGTTTCGTATAGGATCAACAACTCTTTTCAACTTACAGTACAGAGTGATAACAATTTGAGCATCAGTGGGCTATTCACAGTGCATTCAATTGAACAACTTTATATGTCAAGCAGGACAAACAATCCTTATTTCAGTTATTTTAAACCTAACTAATTTGATAAGTGTAAGACAGTGCAAATATATTATCTAAAGGATTATAATTCTTATGGAGGAAGGCAGTAATGGTATTCAGTAAGTAATTAGTGATCAGTTACCTACAGCCTAAAATATACAAAGCCAAAGGTAAAGCTGACTGAATCCTCTTTATCTGCTTTTTTGAGGGTGTCATACAAAGATTCCCGTGACACCTTTTACATGCCTCATGTTTCTAGAGGACATTATTAAATGTGCTTTTAATGTTTCAACGAGCTATTACAGTCAAGGTCTAGTAGTTATGCAAAAGCATTTCTCAAATAAAAAACATAGGTTGCATCTGGGTACATCTACATTGACAGTGGTATGTCTTCCAGTAGTGTGTGTGTGCGTTTGTGTGTGTGTTTGTGTGATGGGGGGTACGTATCATAAATTCTGGAAACATTGTGCAATGTAAAGATGATTGCACCCCTCATAAGGGCACAATCTAACAAAGCATCAAGAAATATATATATATACATACCTAGTCCAACAAGAGCAAATCCCTGGGGTGGCTTCAACAACCTTCGAGACCAAGCTACACTGAGACCTTCCAGATCAACATCTTTTCCACCCACAAGCAGAACGTGTGGCTGAAGTATGCCTATATAACGCAAGCTTCCAACAACCTCTCCAAGTTGAGGATTCCAGTAACAACTGCTGTTTTTGTGTTGAAAATCTTCAAATATCCCAATACCGCTTTCTTTGCGCTTGGTTTTCTCCTCCGATCCTAGGTCGCTGATCGTGATGCTGGTAGAGCCCCCAGCCGAAGCAGAAGTCTGCGAAGAAGTTGACGAACTCGTTTCGTTTAGTGACGAGTCTGATACTTCTTTTAAAATAAGAGCAAAACACTTGGAAGTAATCCTGACATTCTTGGAACTCTTTTTCTCCTCTCTGTGAGGCTTCGACGACATTTTGACTGGCGATTTCAAGCTACATTTCAGAACAGCACCACAGCATTGCACCCGCTCTGAACTCAAACTCACTCCTGCTGTCTCTCGCCGATTCTCGTCATGTGCAGCTTGACGTACCTGTTATAATGAAGGTGATTGCGCGAAGCCAACAAGCGTCACAACTAACACAATGAGATCTCTATCGCGGACCCCAAAGTACTCAAAGTACATGCATGTTTTTCTGAATTAACGCATTTTATGATAGATATTTGTGTATATGCAAATCTTAAAAAAAATCTCACCAATGAAATTCTAAAATTTTGCTAATTCGANCATTCAATTGAACAACTTTATATGTCAAGCAGGACAAACAATCCTTATTTCAGTTATTTTAAACCTAACTAATTTGATAAGTGTAAGACAGTGCAAATATATTATCTAAAGGATTATAATTCTTATGGAGGAAGGCAGTAATGGTATTCAGTAAGTAATTAGTGATCAGTTACCTACAGCCTAAAATATACAAAGCCAAAGGTAAAGCTGACTGAATCCTCTTTATCTGCTTTTTTGAGGGTGTCATACAAAGATTCCCGTGACACCTTTTACATGCCTCATGTTTCTAGAGGACATTATTAAATGTGCTTTTAATGTTTCAACGAGCTATTACAGTCAAGGTCTAGTAGTTATGCAAAAGCATTTCTCAAATAAAAAACATAGGTTGCATCTGGGTACATCTACATTGACAGTGGTATGTCTTCCAGTAGTGTGTGTGTGTGTTTGTGTGTGTGTGCGTTTGTGTGTGTGTTTGTGTGATGGGGGGTACGTATCATAAATTCTGGAAACATTGTGCAATGTAAAGATGATTGCACCCCTCATAAGGACACAATCTAACAAAGCATCAAGAAATATATATACATACCTAGTCCAACAAGAGCAAATCCCTGGGGTGGCTTCAACAACCTTCGAGACCAAGCTACACTGAGACCTTCCAGATCAACATCTTTTCCACCCACAAGCAGAACATGTGGCTGAAGTATGCCTATATAACGTAAGCTTCCAACAACCTCTCCAAGTTGAGGATTCCAGTAACAACTGCTGTTTTTGTGTTGAAAATCTTCAAATATCCCAATACCGCTTTCTTTGCGCCTGGTTTTCTCCTCCGACCCTAGGTCGCTGATCGTGATGCTGGTAGAGCCCGCAGCCGAAGCAGAAGTCTGCGAAGAAGTTGACGAACTCGTTTCGTTTAGTGACGAGACTGATACTTCTTTTAAAATAAGAGCAAAACACTTGGAAGTAATCCTGACATTCTTGGAACTCTTTTTCTCCTCTCTGTGAGGCTTCGACGACATTTTGACTGGCGATTTCAGGCTACATTTCAGAACAGCACCACAGCATTGCACCCGCTCTGAACTCAAACTCACTCCTGCTGTCTCTCGCCGATTCTCGTCATGTGCAGCTTGACGTACCTGTTATAATGAAGGTGATTGCGCGAAGCCAACAAGCGTCACAACTAACACAATGAGATCTCTATCGCGGACCCCAAAGTACTCAAAGTACATGCATGTTTTTCTGAATTAACGCATTTTATGATAGATATTTGTGTATATGCAAATCTTAAAAAAAATCTCACCAATGAAATTCTAAAATTTTGCTAATTCGAACTAAATATACTTTATTTCATCTCAATAAATGAGTAAATAAAAAGAATGAAAGAGAAGGAAAAATGCCGTTTGCGGGGGCCATAAAATAGCGTAGCCTATGTAACATGTAGCAAACCACAGATTGATATAAATGCTGAATTGTTGGGTACAACTACCATAAACGGATCAAAGTATTTTTAAACCCCATTAATCGTCCCCTGCATTTAGCATAATTACTGTAATTGCTGTAAAGCTTTTCGTGTTATTTTTCAGCAAGTAATCTATAACTTCTTTTGAAATTGTTATTGTCCATTTACTGATTATGCATCCACCTTCCAACATTATATCATCCCTTACAATTTTGTAATCCATACGTTATCATCTTCAATTTCTAAATTAAACGTAGCGAAAACAGCCAGTGGAGCAGATAGTATGAGAAATTGTCAAAAGATGGCGACTGTGCATACAAAATTGCGGAAGAACATTTATGCGATACTAAGCGACGACGACTGAAGGAGGGAAATTAAAATGGAATCGAAGCAAGCAGAAAACATCGAGAAGACTGCAGTTATAACCACTGGTTCATTTTATAGCAAGAAGTCAATTTCACAAGGAGTGAAATCCAGGTACCTGACAACATGTAGTGAGTCAGTCTAATCGTAAGCACGTAACGCTATGATACCCCGTAGTCAAACATATGAATGCCTCAGTTTTCGGCTTTACCTTAGGGTACTTTCCCTTAAGTTAAAGTAGCTCGTAAGACCGACACATCGGCCCTACTCTAGTCCTAGGTCAATTAAACTAGTCTCAGAGAAGATGCACAGCAAGCCTGGGTCTCACACAAGTTTAACTAACTTTATTAAATTTAATAGATTATAATTTATAAGTCTGTCGTTACTTCTGTCTGTCAGAATTCAGCTCTTTCTCTCTCTCTGTATATATCAAAATCGTCAATAGGAGTGTAAATGCATGGGATTCATGCACACACTCTCCAATTCTATCCATTCTAAATCAGTTATTTGCAGAGTGTAGGATTGGGAATGGTTAAAATCATGGTCTTTTACCTTTGTTGATCCATCCTCCATATTTGACCCTTTTGTGACAGAAAAAATTAGATGACCATCAGTGAAAACTTAAAAATTTTGAGTGTCTGTCGAAAGACCCAGAAGACCGCTCCTGTCTGCCCTGATCTGACAGGCATTTATTTCTATTTTAGACAGAAATGGGCACAGAAACTTGAGAAACATGAAGAAGAAATTCGGAAGTTGACAATACCAAGTCCTTATAAAATAAGGTAATATTGAAGTACAGTGATATAAACAGAAAGGTTACCATTTCTTGATGATTATCATAATAGTATTCTATAGAAATTATCCACGATAGTCTAAAGGTAGTCTAAAACAAGACTGTCTGTATTGCATGTCATCATACAAGACTGAAAAACAGACAAGAATCCATGTGTGGTGGGGATAACCTTTTAGCAACAAGGATGAAGACTATGTGCTGGAAATGTCATCTTAGAGATCAGTGGTAACACGCAAAACATGGTGAAAATATACTATTGTGCAAAAGACTGTAAGTTGGTAAAGGAAAGAACCAGAAAAAACCCATGGATTAATTTTGTCAGCTTATACTAGTATACATGTGTATGTTGTCACACAGCACTTTCTAGTCTTGTCCTTATTTCTCACCCCTCTCTCCTCTAAATTCCACGAAATCTTGTTTGATATTATGCTGAGCCTTGAGACTTTGTGCTATATTGTAATGATAACCATATTTTTAATGAGCCTTTCTCTATGGGGACAGAATAAACTTGAACCATGGTAGCAAATCTCATCTCATATCATATTCAGCAGCATTTTTTCTACTTATTACACCATGCAGTTGATAAATGGGGTCATGGCATCATGATTTGCCATATATAGTAAGAGGTTTGTTTGCTGCTACACATTACCCAGTGCTGTTTTATTAGTGTTTGAAGATAATGATTTTTATGACTGTTCACTGACAACTTCCAGTTTAAAGGGACCAGCTTCACAATGGACTGTGTTCTTCTCACAGAAAGATGCCTTTCAGTTTGCTAAGCGGGATCCACAGGTAAGTATTGGTTAACAAACCAAGTTGAACAAATGAAGAATTCTATAAATGAAGTTAATTTACTGTTGTTAGTGCTGATCAAGATTCATCTGTCACAGTGACTGTCACATACAATACAAGGTACTGGTATTGCTGAACAAAGAATTTTTACTTTCATGCTGTAATGGTACACATGTTCATTTTACCCAATATCTTAAAAAAGAATTTAAAAAATGTGTTGAGAATTGTTGTATCAGATATTACATGATATAATTATGCATCATCGTATTTGTTTGGGTATGCTTAATTTATTAATTGCAGGATCTTCATGTTTTTGCCTATGAAAGTGAGCTTTTAAATCATGGAGCACAAGGAAAAAGAATGTATTTGACAGCAAGCTATCACCATTTCTGGCACTATTACAGGTGAATACAGCATTGGTCAAAAAGGTTGTCCCACCCCCATTTCCATGTACTTTTAATTACAAATGATCACCTCACAGCTGTAAATTGTTAGAAATAGTGCTTTTTATTACAGATACCGTGTCTAACATGATTAATGGTTTAAAAAATACAAAATAGAGGTAAAAATATACATATTTTATACCATTTAGTCAAATTTATAAGAGGTACCCCCTCAAATCCACTGTTTCACTGTGACTTCTACAGATGTAAAGAAATGTCTATAAAATTGAAAAGACGCCATCAAATGTCCCCAAATTCACAGACAATTAGCATTAGGGTATGCTCGTTAAAGGTCACGTGCCTAACAGCGTGTGCGTCTAGCGCGTACTGCAATTATCCCCTGTAGACGGCGCAACAAGCCTTCAACACGGGTAACAATTCTGTTTTGTGGAATATTGTCCCATTCTTTTTAAACAAGTTGGGGGAGTTGGTCCACGTTTTTATGGGGTTGGTTCTCCTTTGCATTGCACACTCCAATTCATGTCACAGTTGATTAGTAAGTTTAATATCAGGGCTCAAAGATGGTGGTTCCATCCTTAGAGCATTGTGTTTCTTCAACAAACACTTGCCAGGCGAGAGGTGTGAGCAAGTGTGCAGTCATGATAAAGCCTGGAATTAACCCCAAAGTCAGTTCTTGAAGATGGAATGAGATATCAGCTGAGAATGCTACGTACAGTGATCCCACAGGCACCTGAACCTGGCCATCCATCACTGGAAGGAAGTCTATTTTGATGCAGAATCAAATTATTTCTTGTATCCCATCGATGGTCAAAGAGGGTCCATAGACATGTTAAAAAATGCCTCTTGGAAGGGTGTGTGTAGGATAATATCGCCTGAGGTGTTAGATCAGTCCGCATTTGGAGAACATTCCAAGCCCATGGTATTAGTACAGTGTTCCTTTTGGAACAAAACGTAACAGGGGCATTTTAATGTAACATTCTCAACAGAAATCTCACTCCATTTGCAAGAGGTGACCTCAGGGATGCTACTGGCTTCATTGTGACAACGCACTTGCTCACAGCTCTCGTCTGGCAAACGATTTGTTGCAGAAACACAGGGGTCTGAGGATGGGCCAACAGTCTTTGGGTCCTGATATTAATCCTACTGAACACCTGTGGCATGAATTGGAATGTGCACTGCAGAGGAGAACCAATTCCCAAATAATCTTGACCAATTCCGCCACGCTCTTTAGGATGAATGGGACAATATCCCACATAACAGAATTGTTACCCGTGTTGAAGGCTTGTCGCGCCGTCTACAGGAGATAATTGCAGTACGCGGTAGACGCACACGCTGTTAGGCACGTGATCTTTAACGAGCACACCCTAATGCTAATTGTCTGTGAATTTGGGGACATTTGATGGCGTCTTTTCAATTTTATAGACATTTCTTTACATCTGCAGAAGTCACAGTGAAACAGTGGATTTGAGGGGGTACCTCTTATAAATTTGACTAAATGGTATAAAATATGTATATTTTCATGACTATTTTGTATTTTTTAAACCATTAATCATGTTAGACACGGTATCTGTAATAAAAAGCACTATTTCTAACAATTTACAGCTGTGAGGTGATCATTTGTAAATAAAAGTACATGGAAATGGGGGTGGGACAACCTTTTTGACCAATGCTGTATATTGATAAAACTTTATTATGATTGAACTTGCTTCCTTTTTTTCCTCAAGCTGAAAGAATAGGAATAGTTTGCTCTTGTTACTTTAAAAGATAAGTGGTAATTGTTAACACCTGGGTTTATTTATTTATTTATTATTATTATTATTATTATTATTATTATTATTATTATTATGTTAAATAAGACTATTCAATTTTGCAGGCAGCTGCCAGAATCAAAGAGGCTGCACTACGAAATCATACCTGAAGGTTTGTCTATTTTTATGCAGGCCTGTAGCCAGCAGTTTTAAAGGGGGATTCTTACTGGGGAATAATGGACCTTTTACCTTTTTAGTCGACCCAACTTGAGAAATGGCACAGAATGTATCAGAAGAACATTTTTTTTTTTATTCAGAGTAGACATTTTCCTGCTCTAAGGGTGGTTCTTTAGAACCCTTTATGCTAAGGATGGGCCTATAATGGATTGCTTGATTGATTGCCTATTCTCATGATGTCTCACTTTGTACACTTCATTTTTCAGTTTGACTTTAAGGGAGTATTGCATGTAATTGGACTTTTTTTTTGTTTTCCTATGTTATAAATATGAGCACCGCTTACCTCAGATCAGTCTTATTTGTAATATTTTAGGAGCAGTGTGTAAGCTGTACTTTGATTTGGAATTCAACAAAAGGTTGAATCCTTCAAAGGATGGAGATGTAATGGTGGACAGCTTTATCAAGGTAAAATGAGAATTTTAAAGTACCATTTTAGGACACTGACTCAATTTGTAAAAGATAGTTAAAACATCACCACATCCTTTGCATACAGACTTTTAAATCTGTTCCCGAAGAAAGTATTTATTTTTGTAAAAAAATCAGATATTGACAGATACTAGGGCCAGGGGTACATGTAGATTTAGAACATTAACTTATACTATCTGAACTGATTGTCTCATTATCTTTATAGTTATTAATAGGAGGAATGATGGAAATACAAGAGTTCCTTCTTAAAAAAGTTCATTAGTCCGGTAATTATACATGGATTGTGGAATTAATCATTCCACAGTTTTTAGTTTTCAGCTTAATATTTTCTTACCATCTAATTTTCGGTTCTACTCATGAGCCTTCCCTAGGACTAACTGGTCGTGCACTGATGTTGTAACGCCGAGTTGTAATCATTGACCAATTAACCTATCAGTGTCCCTCTTGGCCCCCCAGATCACTTACTGGTATATTTAGATATTCTGTATGTATAATATTAACTATCAAGGATAGTATACTTTTATATCTTTCATATAATTTCGTTTACTTGTGTTTCCTTTCAGTTTGTGTGCTTTCATTTGGACACTATGTTTGGTGTATACTGTGACAGAAGTATGGTGCTTGATCTAGATGCCAGGTGATACCATGTTGAATGTATTGTATATGAAGAACTTTAGACTTTTGCCTGGGATAAACTTGAATTTTGAGTAACATATACATAAAGTACATATAAATATATATACAGCAGCCATGTTTGACTTACCATTATAATGCAAAGAAATTATTTTTAAAGAACATATGATTTTATTTAATATTATAAAATGTTTTTTTAAAGAAACATATTGTAAAATAAAAGTTTTATCAGATTTGCTTTTAAATCTGTGAAGTACTGGTATATTCTTATATTGTAGCTTATTGTAACATAAATCTTTTCTTTTTTCAGCACCACAGAAAAGTTCAGCTCCCATTTGATTTTCCAACTCCCAGGTGCTGTCTTCAGAAATAATGTCCATGCAGGTGCTAATTCTTTCTTTATTTCTGTCTTCTTCTTTTTTTTTTACAAAGTTTTATGTACATATTCAATGTTTTGTATGATTTCACATGTCCTTTCTTGATATTGAATTCTTAAATTATTTAAGGTTAAATAATTAAACACCAAGAAGTAATTAAAGAAGCATATATTCAAAATATATGTATCTGATGTATTTGTTGTTGCTTTATTATACAGATCTTAAAAGGTAGAAATTGTTGAATGTTATCAAATTTTTATCAAAACATTATATAAAGTTAAAAATTTTGTTGTGGATTGATTTTTCTGTAACCATGGGCTGAATATTGAGCTGCAAATGTTTACTGAAAACTGTGCATTAAGAGATTTTACTTTATAAGGTGTTTTTTTTTTTTTATTATTCAAGGGCATTTTGTGCGTAAAATTTGTAAGAAGTTAATAGACATGTGTGCAGAAAGCAATGAAAAACAGTCATATATGATCAGTGATGCTCCTAAGACAACAACTGACTTATACCAAAATACGCAAGACGGTGATCAAACTAATGCTGGTCATTCAGAGATAAAAGAAGTTTACAAAAAGCAAAAAATGGATCCACTGGTTTCATGTGATGGTCATACAATAAGTTCATATATTGCTGTTGGGGGGAGTGAATATTCTGTAAAGTATCCTGGAAAGGTGTCACACCGGGCTCCAAGTGACAGCTCAATACCTGGGAAGTCTACAGATCTTACAGTTGATGACATTAACTTACCTGGAAAACCAGCAGATGTCATCTGTGATAACAGGTTATTACCAAGAAAATCTCCTCAGAAAGGGTTAGAGAGAACCAAAGAAAGCAGTCTCTCAACAATTTTTAATGATGATGAAAGATGTGTTGAAGCTGCTTCAAGTCATTTGCACAGTGAATGTTCTGTACAGGACTCTAAAAAACTTGGCATATGTAAAGAGGAATTGTTCAATTTACTGGTGCTGGATAAACATGAAAACAGAGTTTTGTTTTGTGATTTGGGTAAGTATTTTATCTATAAATGACAAACTGCATTTTTTGCAGTTCAGACTAGTATAAAAAAATAAAAAGAAAATTTGAATCTTCGGTTAAGAGCAATATTTTTCTCTATCTTGAGTGTAACTCCAGTATTTATGTGGCAATTTTCTTTAAAAATTGTAAATCATAGTTGGCTAAAATTAAATTTTCCCAGTTAACATATTTCATATCTTTGCCATGAGATGAAATGTGCCAGTGTACATTTTATTTGAAAATGCTTTGTATCCATACTTTGCAAGTTTTAAACATTCCATTATAGCAAAATGATATAATTTAAAACCAGTCATGGCAAAATGACTAGGTTGTTTAGGTTGTTTTTATTAAGTCACCATCTTTTACCACAAGTATCAGACACAAGTATCAGATTTTTTTCTGAATTTTTAAACTTATTCCTTGTATTTGTTATTTTAGCTGTTTACACTAAGAACAGGAACTTCAGGCTGTATCTTTCCAGTAAATATATGAAGAACAACCCTCTGAAGATTTCTAAAAGAAATCAGTACAAGCCTCATCTTGCAAACAGTGATGTGCCATCATATGAATTGTTCTTGGATTCACTGATAAACAATATTGGGTAACCAATGTTCCTCTGCTTTGTGCTTCAGTTATGAATGAAGCTTTTTGTTAACTTTTTAAAGTTAAAATATAAACATTGCAACAGTACCAGTAAATAGTGATGTGATCGTTTGAATTACTGTGATGTAAAGGAGTTAGTAAAGACTCACAAATATCTCAGTCCACCAGAAATAATGAGTTTTTTTT